TTGAAGCAGGCACCTCTCCAGGGGAGATGTTTGTTTTGCCACTGTGGCTCTTAGTATGTAAAAAGGCAGGAATGCATAAAGATTTCTGGCCATTGGAGGATATTTCCATTCTCTTTTCAGGTAGCAGAAATCAACAAAGCCTCCAAACAAGGAGAGTTGTTCTCAGTTTATGGGTCTGGAACTGGTGGCAACAGCAGCTTGGAAACAAAATCTGGGTCTCCAACAGAACAGGACTTCCTCCCTGCATCCCAGGTTTACTCAGTGAGTACTGATGGGATAGACAGGAGGGAATGGTGTGTTTTGTCCTTCTGCTTTTTTATTAATTTATCTTACATCCTTTCTGTGGCCATATATTTCTGTTGTAATTGCTTTTCCTTGTCTATCTGTCATACTGGGAATTTAACCTAATGCATTTCCCTCATTTCTCAGTTGATGGGTGTGATGATGTCAGATTTAGAGCCTCCCTCACCTTACAGCTGTCCACAGTGGTGTATTGTGTGCAGAAACCTGGCTCCTTTCAGGGTTCTGCACATAGGGATATCACCTCCAAACTTTCTTCTTCCTCCTTTCTCCCTAGTTCAAACCCAAGCGTGTGGGAGCAGGATTTCCAAAGAAATCCAACTTGTTCCAGACAGCCTCAGAACTGCTGAAGATCCAGGAGGAGAGTGATGCAAAGCCTGTCAAAAAAGAAGTAGATTGTCCAAATGGGCAAGACAACAGCAGCTGCAGTCTGGAACTGGACACCAGAAACACTGTTGTCCAGAGGGAAGAAACAGCAACCCAAGCAATGTGTGAGAGTGCTGGGGTAGAAATACACCCTGAAAAGAAGGGACAGCAACCCAGTCCAGACACAAAGGCTGCACTTTGGGAGAGCCCCACTAAGAAGTCCAAACGTAGCAAGAAGCAGCAAATGCTCGCAGAAGCAGCTAAAAAAGAATCACAAGATATTTCCAAATTCTTCTCCCTCTCCAAAGGTGGCTCTAAAGCCAAAAGTTGCAGCTCAGCAAAGGAAGAGGGCTGTTCTGCAAGCACACTACCTCAGGTTTCTTCTCAAAGCACGTGTCAAGAGAAACCAACACCTCAGGAAGGCAGAGATGTCTCTGGAGATCTGACTGGACAGTCCCAGGCAGAGAATAAAGAACTGAGAGAAACAGAAGTAACACAGACTGATAAGGGGGAGGATTTTAAGACCCAGCAGACTGCTGAATCTGAACTCCTTCAGGGAGAAATTGATGTGAAGTCCAGGTAAAATCTCTCTCTCTCTGCTCCCCTTGTTGCCCTGTTAAGCTGCAGAGTCCCACCAGACTTGTCCTGGAAACTGGGAATCTGTATGAGGTCTCTGGGTGGGTGAGGGAGGCTCTTGCTTTACCATGGAGGGTCTCATAGCCACTAACAGTGAATGCAGGGATGTTTTCTTTGTGGAATAATTACAGTTGGCCTTCTCTCCACTCTTCCCACTAGTGTTGCTGAAAACGTCTCAGAAACTGAGTTACCTGTTGTTGGGGAGGGTGAGAGTGGGAAGCGGGCAGGATCAGTTGAGGTAAGGCTTCAATGAATACTAATTTCCTCTATTTCTTCTGCTTGTCTCATGCCAAATTTCTCTCTGAGAGTGATGCTCCTGCTCTGAACCTCACCTGAGAGTGTTATTTATCTGGGGAGGGCCCAGCTGCAGTTGCACCAGAGAGGAGAACCCCAGTTGTGTTGCATTCCTGGTGTCCATTCCAGTGGAGAGCTTCCCTTCCACTGCATTGTTTCCTCCTGTGTGCAACACATGTGACTGTGCCCTTGCTGGTGACTTGCCTGGAATGAGTCTCTCGACCCCTTCTAGATCTGTAATGAACTATAATTAGCAGCTGCTTTCTCAAGTTCAGGGAACAACCACAGGCCAGTGACACCCAGGACCATTTGGAAGTGACCTGTACTCACAGCCTGCCTTGCCATTCAGTCTCTGCTTCTGCATTTGGCATCTGAGACTGCCTGCCAGCTGTCTCTGCAACAGTGCAATCTTCTTTTCTTTCAAACTGAACAGACATGTGGCACTCCTGACATGGCTGATTCTTCCTGAGGGGTGTATTCCCAGCAGGGATCCTGAAAAATCATTCCCAGTCAGTTTTTCTTGTATACAAGAGGGTCTAGCAATCAATTGCCCTGATAAGAGCACGGGGTAATTCTAAATGTGGTGTTCTTAAAGGGCTTTTCTCAAAGTCCCTTTGTGTGGCAAATAGTGTATTATGTCTGCACAGCAAAATGGGTTACAGAGATTCCTATGTGGTATTCACTGTAGGGAGAGTCTGCAGGATGCTGCAAAGATTTGTTGTCCTGGAAGGTAGTGGGTGCTTGGAAGTGGAATGCTGCTCCAGGAAGTGGTGGGTTTGATTCTCTTCTGTCTCCTTTCCAGGATATGGAAAGTCCCGCAACAAAGCGGCTGCGGACAGCGGCAAAACCTTCTATTCTGTCCCAGCCAGAATGCAAAAGTGCTGGTCCAACAAAGAAGAAGGTGACTTTTGATTCAAACTTAGAACAGTGTGATAAAGAAGGAACCAGCAAGACCATACAGCCAGTGACAAAAGGCGTGTCCCTCAAAGACACTGCAGACATCGTTGTCAAATATTTGACCCCGTTCTACAAGGGTGGCAAATTTGCTTCCAAGGTAGGGCACAGCTCATGACCCTCTTTAGCAGAAGGAGACTACAGCTCATAGTGATCTGGGGCTCTAAGAAGGGGGGAGATGATCTGGATACCACATTTCATTTCCAACTTGTATCTTGGTACGTGCTGTTTCAGTGACTCCAGGTGCAGGAACTCACCTCTCCCACAAAAAGCTTTGTGTATGTTTGGAGTGGTATCATGTTAGTTCCACACTTATTTATGGTTGTTCATGTTTTCACATTAAGCTTTGGCACACTTTTAACTCCCACCTGTGGAGCAGCAACAGCTCAGGTTCAATTCTGGTGTAGTTTCCTTGATGTGTCCTGCAAGGCAGGTTGTGTGTGCCAGCACTGCAGGGTCGGGTGTGTTTGCAGGTGTGCAACACCCCTGTAGTCTCAGTCTAGGAATGGTGTGTGCTGCAGCCAGCCCATGCTGAGGGCAAGACAAACATGGGAACAGTCTGGTAACTGATGTCTGCTTTCTGCTCTTTGTCTTCCCTGATTCTGCAGGAGCTGTTTAAGGGCTTTGCCCGGCACCTGTCTCACTTACTGACCCAGGAGCAGAACCCTGCCCGCAAGACAGGTGAGAGCACTGAGAGCCTGGGGTTCTTTCAGTGCCAAGTGGATGGATGTCTTTAGGGGTGGCAGATGTCTTAAATTTCGACTCAGAGGTGGTGTTTCCTCTCTTGCAGTGAAGGAGGAAGCACAGAGACTCATCAAGGAGTTTTTCAAAACAAGGGTCAGGTGTGAGAGTGAGGCGGACTGGCAGGAGCTGCAGAGCTGGGAGAGCTGATCTGTGCATCCTGTTGGTTGTCTTCCTTCCTCCAGCAGCATGACCAGGGGATCTTGAAGAACTCTGCCATGGAGAGTTTTGTGAGAATGCAGAAGTGAGATTTTTTTTTTTTTCCCCTACTGCATTTTTGCTCACTTCTGTCCTTAGTGACAAACAGTTCCAGAAAACCAGTTTCTGTGAACTTACAGAGAGTTTCTCCAATAACTGGGGTGCTGAAGCCCTCGAGGACCAAGAGGTGTGAAGTTGCACCTGCTGTGTTTATTAGGGGCTGCTGCCTGAGATGTTCTGCACTGCCTCCAACCTCTACTCCCTGCAGCAGTCTGGGAAGGGCTCAGACTTTCCAGCTGGGACTCTGCTTTGGGATAGCATCTTGTTCCTAGATGGCTCCTCCCCTCACTCCCTGTCTTAGTTCTTATTTCAGTGTTACCACTAGAAGCCTTATGCTACATGTTCTTATGCTTTGCTCAGGGCTGCCAATGACAAACTCCATGGTTGAGTTCCTGCATGGAATGTTTTCCTTTGAAGGGCAGGAGGGAAGTGTTTTGTTCTTACCGTGCAGGCAATGCCTACTTTCTGAGGGTGAAGAAACTGGAATTCTTTTTCTTTTAATGTGAACTTTTTTTAAACTTTGTCTAGTTTTGTCTGCCCTTTAACTTAAGTGGTGATGCTCTTTCAGTGTTAACCTCAATAGCACTTTCCAGCATTTTCTTATAACCCCTAAAGCCATATTTGCCCCCTGTGCCTCACCAAAAGTCTGCAATACAGGGGGCAATGCTGCTGTTAGAACTGGTTCAGGTACTGCTGTGACCCTCAAATTGACACTGCGGTGTCTCTGCTGCTATGTTTATATGGGACCTAACCTGATTCCCTGGCACAAGTCCCTCCTGTTGGATTTTTATTGGGTTCTGCCTTTGTTCCATGCCCACAGAGGCTGGTGGCCTCAGGCACTAGTGCTGCTGAGGGATCTGCAGCTGAGAGGCCATCGGTCAGGCTTTTGGAGCACTGTACTCCACAGATGTATTTTTTTAGATGTACTAAAGTATATGCAGAACTGACAATAAAATAATGTTATAGCTGCTGTGGACTGTTCCTGGAAGCTTTTTCTTACCACTCACTCATACAGACTGGTGTAAGATCCATTAAGCAGCACTTGAAGGGAAGTACCTGACAGGGAAGATGCTGCAGTTCCTGCTGGAATCACCTCACCAACAAGAATCCAGCTGTGCCTCATGGCTTGCACTTAGCACCCTCAGATCTATCCCCTCCCCTGCCAACAGTGACAGCCTTTTTTCATCAAGCTTTGCCTGTTACTTGCAGGTCAGTTTTCCCGGGTTAAGATGCAAGATCTGTCACGCCACACCTTCAAAACATATCTGTGATTACTTTATTGCAATTTCCTAAAGGGCAATAAAAATAAATTAGGCATTTTTGTACAACCCAAAACACTCTACTACAATATAAGTGCTGTTTGAATATGCTTCCTCTGTGGGCATGGAGCCATCATTGAAGCCTGACAGCTGCATGGACATGACTGACTTCTTTATAGTAGAGGGAAGCAGATGCATATAATTATGTCAGTGAGAAATTAATTAACAATAAACTTTCGTACCATTGCAGCTCAATCTGTGCCCCAGCATATGTGCTAATTGTATTATTAACACTGATCTGCTTTTCAATTAAGGTGCTTTCTGTAAACTCCTGCTTCACCAGTCCTGTTCCAGGGCCTTATGCATATCAATGTAGAGACAAAACTGGCCTCTGGAAAACACCAGCAGCCAGTGCAGGCATTGCATAGCCTCAGCTGGGCATTGGGATACACAAATCTCTAGCAAGCACCAGGCTTTGCTAATGTTAATTAATTCAAAAAAGAAAAGAGGACTTCCACACTGCATTGCTTGAAGGCAAGTGCTTGCATCAGTTCAGCTGCTCTTTGTTGGAACTGTGGTGTGGAAAGGGCCTTGTGGTTTGTTTATCCACAGCGTGGATTGCTTCAAGGAAGTACTTGGGTACTGAATGGCAGGTCACCAGGGGTGAGATTGTGGTACAGTCCATCAACAAACACTGTGGTGGCAGCCCTAGAAAGCAGCTGTCTCAGGTCATGGCTGTCTTTTGGAAGTGTTCTCTGCCAAAGGCAGGTCAGGGAGCACTGATCAAGTACAAAGGAAGAGAGACACAGCTGTTTTCCTTGGTCATTCTCCTTTCAGGCTCTAGGAGTGGAGCTCTGTTTTGTCCAGGATGACAACAAGCGTGTGGTACAGTTCTTTAGCCTGTCAAAACACAAATCAGCATCAGTCATTCTTTGCCCCAGAAACAGCTGCTGCTTATAATTAAATATTCCCATAAACCACTTTCCATAATTAAATATCAGGTATGTGCTGTAACAAAGCTGCACTTTGGAGCCTGGGAAATGCAGTGACCCCCTCCCTCCTTCTGTGGAGCAGGAGAGAGCAGAAGCACTGTCTCAGCAGAGGCTCAGCCGGGCAGTGGAGGGCAATTCCTGAGTTGCCAAGAGGAAGCTGCAGGCCCAGGCTGATCTCACCTGTTTCAGTTCAATCCACATGGTCTTGGGGGTGGCAGGTGATCCGTAGTTCAGCTCCAAGCCGGGAAGTCCATCTTTGAACGTGGGCTTCAGGGTGCGCATCTTCTGCACCTCCTTCAGGGGAATGACCCGGGACACGGCCTGGGGAGGAGAAAAGCCACAGACCACTCTCTGGTGCAGTCCTTACAAATTAAACCATCAGATTCTCCACGAGAAGGAGTCACCTCAAGAGCCCAGTGAAAGCTGAGCAAGGTCAGGGGCACAGGGTGGTGTGTGCAGAACACAGGGCAGGCTCCTGCTGACAGCACAGCCCTGGAACTGCCACAGCACTGGGACAAACAGGAATGTGACGCACAGGTTTACTGTGGACTGTGCTTGTTAGCATGAACATTGGACTTGCAAAAGAGCACATGGCACTAATGACTGTTCTACCACTCTTCTCTCTTGCTTTCCTGTTAGAGTGGCTGCAATATAGAGAAGTACAGCCTCTTCCTGCACAGGTTCTTCTAAAAGTCAAAGTTAATACCTGACAGACACTGGGTGTAATTGTCTGGCATACCTTAGTGATGCCATTCACCACAATGATCTCCTCTTTATTCACACCAAAGAAACAGGGCGCAGGGATCGTCTCATCGCTGACTCTCTCCACGATGAACATGGTGTAGCCAAAGAAAGGCAATTTCATCACATGTTCTGTAAGAAAGCAAAAGGTGGCCTGAAGGGAGCAGCTTCCAGCCAGCAATCCACTACACCAGCCTAAGGTGGTCAAAACTGCCAGTGTTCCCAAGCTTTTCTACATTAAAAAGTAAGACTGACAACTTCTCCCTCCCCACCAGGCTGCTGATACTCAATTCTCAGCAGCCTGAAAGGATGTGCCATTCTTTTCCTACCAGAAAACAGATGTGCAGCCAGGTTGTCAATTAAAACACAACTTATAGAGAGCTTTGAAAATCTACTGCAGAATTCTACAAGAGGTAGAATTCTTCTACCCTGATCCTGTGCTTGGGAACAAGTTCCAATCCACAGTGAGAGGCTGTCAGGGAATTCTGTTGCCATGGCCCATTCCAGGCTCCAAGAATCCTCAACAATCTCATGAATTGTCCCAAAAGCACATTCAGAACAGCTTCCATCATGCTCAGGATGGACAATTGAAGCAGATCTGGATGTCTTCTCACCTATGAACTGGATTTTTGCATCCAATGGCTGGAGGGGATGCCTTGTCCTCAGCAATGTGTCAACCTGGTTCTCCAGAGCCGTGGTACTGATGAAGTGCTGCAGGGTCTTTGGTGTGTATTTCTTCAGCTCCTCCCTGTGTCAACAAGAAGATTCTAATTCACCCCCTGCCCAGCTAGAATCAAACATCAGCTAGGAGATTAAGGGAAAAGAGGATGAGGCAGCAATTTTCAATTGTGTGTCTGAGGGGAGGGGTGAAGGGGGAGAGGAAAAGCACAGCAGGTTGTATCTGCGCTGGATCAGGTGGAAGGAGACACCAGAGACAGTGAGACCACCCTTTTCCATAGAGAAATCAGCTGTGCACATCACTTAGCAGTGCACAGAGAAATCCCTCCTTTCTGGAGACAGCAGGAGCTCTTTAATGCCCAGCAGGGTTATGCCATTTTCCCTACTGCTGGTGCTTTAAGGGAATCTGATGGAGACATTGACCTCAACTCTGAGACAAAGTGCAAAGGATACAGGAAGCAAAGAGTGTGAATATACACCTTGGGACTGCAGGACAGAAGCTTTCCGGTATCCAGGGACAATTTCATTCCCATTTCATTCCAATGAGACATCTCATTAAAGATTTCAGGTGCCCAGGGTTGAAACCTCTGGCACTTGTGAGGGGAATGAGTCTCTCCACCCCCTCCTTTGTCACCCAAAGGAGCAGTCACCCAAACTATAAGCTCATGCACTTCCTTCTGGGTATTACAAACCCATGGCAGTCAAATCAAATGCCCATGGCACTCTCATGACCCTCAGCTCAGGAGGAGTCACAAAAGGAAATGTGGAGCAGAGATTGCCAGCATTAAGGGTGTGAATAGGGGGTAAATTTCTTGATTGGGGGCAGGAGTCAGTCGCTACATGACATTAATTAATAGCTTATGTTCTCCAGAACTGTCCATTCCTTAATTATCCAGAAGTACTTCCAGGCACCTGCTCCTGACTCCTGTGGTGCCAGCATCAGAGAAGCAGAGACCCACCCTGACCCCAACATACCCAGAAGGAGCAGAGTTCTGCTGCTCTGGTTTGGCCCAGTGCTGGAGCATTGCCAAAAGGCCCACTTGCATCTCTGTTTCTTTACTCTGGGTCAGCAGGATCCTCCCATTCAGGTAATCCCACAGCACCTGAGAGACAGCACAGCAAAGAGGCCTTTGTTAAACCTGCCAGAAGGTACAGGCAGGTCTGGGCAGTGCCAGGCTGCAGAGACCCACATCCTGCCTTCCTGATGATAACACATCCCACTCGGGCTGATAATGCAAAAGCAAAGGCAGGCTGGGCTCAGGAAGAGCCTGTGGAGCTGCACAAACCATGTGTGGAACAGCCCAGCTCCCAGGCTGGGCCCACAGGCACACTGCCTTCTGTGCATCCACAGCTTCAGTGTTCTGTCATTCCCAGAAACAGCACACAAAGCTGATCAGCCAAAGACCTCCTGCTTTTTCAGCCCCCTTGGGACATTCCCACTGGCCTGAACACAACCTCTGCCCCTGTCAGGGAGCCTTGGGGAGGCCCCTGCTGTTCTTACCTGTCCATAGTGGACGTCTGTATAGATTTGGTTCTCGAAGTGCAGAGGTGTCCTCCAGGTGAGCCTGCGCAAAGTCACAGTGACCATCTTGTCCTCCAGCAGGTAATCATGGAGATACTCCTCTGGTTTTATTGGCTTCACTGTTTTACCTGCATGTTACACAGAGAGAGGGTCATCCACCCCTCTTGGTGCTGAGGCAGTGGGCTGAGCACCACGGCCTGGGACAGTTCCTGCACACCTCTGTTCCCCCCTGCCCTTACAACTCCAAGCATCAGCCATTCCAAAGGGACACAGACCCACACACCTCTTTCAGGAACAAGCAACACAGACCCTGAGAAGGGTCAATCCTTAACCCTAATACAGAGGGAAACCGCTTAAGAGGAACCTCCTGTGAGCCAGGAAGGGTCAGGGAACTATTGAAAGCCAGAGCCATGGTGCTCCCTGTTGCAGGGACTGCTTTAGGAAGAAACTTGATGCTGATCTCTACTTGCCAAGATTTTTGTTGTCAGTCCTGATAGCAAAAAGAAAAAAGTCCTGTATCTCTTCCTGTTCACCTACTCCCATCTGCTCACAGATCTCCTGCAAGAGCTCCTTGGCCACCTGAAGCAAGGAAAGAAGAAAATGAATACCATGACCAAGCCCAAAGCAGCCCCAGAGCAGGTAGACATATTACCCCTTGGCAGGTGAGGGATTTCCCTGGTGTGGCTCAGAGTCCAGACCAAAGAAGAAAGCCACAGATGAAAACTCACCGTGAATGTCCTGATCCTGGTGAGGTATTCCATGCCTCCAGGCATCAGTATCACCAGCCGGCGGGCACCGTGCCCCTTCTGCAAGGGACAGTCTTTAGGCAGCAAGACATGCAAGATCCCACCAGCCCCACAATTGTTTCTCCCTCTTCTTCCTCATCTGTGCCTTCCACTGCTTCTCCATAGTACCTGCCCCTTCCCTGCCCATATTCCCGTTCACTCCGTGGCATTGCACTTGCCAAACCCCCTTACATCCACATGATTCATTTCCTCTCATGGAGCACTAACTGCCCCTGTCATACTCGCATGGCACCTCCTGGCAACCCTCTGCCCTCCCCCTGTTCCCAGCATCCCCCCTTCCCTGCCCCTCAGTACCAGCAGTGCCTCCATCTCCACAGGGAAAGGAAGGTTTCGGCGGCCCCCGTACATGAAGTTCTTCCGTAGGTTGCTCTGGCAGATCTTGGCTATATCTGCAGGAACAGGGAAAAGCTCCATGTGCTGAGCCAAAGAGAGAACTGAACATTGTGTCCTGTGCTGTTGGGTCACCCTGGCTGTGTCAAATTTAACCCTTGGGCACTGCTAGGAGAGCAAAGAGACTTGACCTCAACTCCCACTCTGCCAGGACACATCTAAATCATGAGGAGCCAGGCACAGGCAGCATCCAGGACAGCAGGAGAACAGAGGAATGACAGGATGGGAAGATTAGAAGTAGAATGTTTGTTTTATAGGACACAGACAGTCGTACCATGGTGGGTGCTGGATGGATCACTGCTGGCTAGCTGCAGGAACTTGGTGGCATAGGGCATCAGGGTTTTAGTAGGAAGGAAGTATCCAGTTAGCAGATTCAGGACCAACCAGCCACGCAGCACGCTCTCCCTGAGGAACAGAAGGGACTGTGGGCACCTTGGGACAAGACAATTCCTGCTCCTAGCAGCTCAAACTGAGCCTCTGCCCTTCTGAACACCTGTGGCAGGCAGCAGAAAATGGGGTGGCAGCCCTTGGTCAGAGGTTTCTTATGCTGAGCAAGGGATTGATTCAGTCTTTCTAACAGCAAACAAAGGGAACAGTCAAGGCCACTCTGATGCCACTGCTGCCATTTCACAGGGCAGTGTGGGGTCAAGCCAGTCCCTGACTGTTGTATCAATTCCCCAGGGCTGTGAGGAGGAAATCAGGGCTCTGAGCAGCACCACTACCAGGAGCTACCAGGGATGTTTACCCAGGCCCAGATATATTAGCAGCCAGAAGAACAAGGACAAATGTCCACTGAAATGAAAATGTCAGACCCAGTGACTGGCTAAATTTCCTGAGTGCTCAGCAAAAGCCCCAGCATTGGAGCACTGGGGACAGCACAGCATCAGGGAACACCCTCTCCCCTGGCTCTGGTGTCCCTGAAGCAGATGGTTCCTCTCCAGCTGTGCATGCAGAGGAGCTGCCAGTTCTGGTACTCACTGGTTAGGGTTGTGGGTGACCTGTTTGATGACCTGGCAGTAGATCTCATCATGCAAATGCTCCTTCTCCTTGCATAGCTGCATTCAGAGAGGAGAAAACCACATCAGAGAGGAGAGGAGAGGAGAGCACCAGAGTGGCCCCCAGGTCACCTCTGTGCTCTTCCTCTTCCAGCACTGGAGCTCTGCCCATTTGGCTTAAAGCTTGGGCTTTTCAGCCTATGGTCCCCAATACTATCTAGACCCAAAGAAGGAGAGAGGAGAAGAAGGTTGTGCTCTCATCCAGACAATGATATCCAGGGAAACCATTTACATGCAGCCCCTCCCCTCCATGTGTTTTAATCAGTCTGTTTCAGCTCCCTTTCTCATGCAGTAGTTGCATTGTGGCTCTCCCTGCTCTCTCCCTTCCCAGCGAGGCCTTGGCCCTCTGTTCCTGTTGGTGCTTCAGCACTTTGCCCGAGGGAAGGTCACAAACCTTAAGGATTTCATAGATGCATTCAACCTCAGTCTGGTCCTTGTGCTTGGGCTGATCTCCCATGAGCTGCATCAGCGCTGCAAGGCAAAGGCTGATATTGAGGTCTAAGCAGGGGTGGTCCTGCCATGGGGCTGGCAGAGGGCTAAAAACTGTCCTGAAAACTTTCCTGCTCCAAGGTTTGCATTGGATAGGTGTAGTCTGTCCACAGCCCAGGCAAGGGTGTGTTCTTGGACACTTTGCACTCCAAGCAAAGTACATTTTGCTGGACACTTTCAACAAGGACACAGATGGTTATTAATTGCAGAAGTGCCTTAGGAGGGGCCCCCCGACACAGGTTTCATTCCCTACTCAGCCCCACGATGCCTGTGTGTGCCCACCACAGCATCCCACTCGTCCCTCCCACCCTCTGCACTGTTGTGTCCTAGGGAGGTACTTACTCTGGAAGTTCTTTGTAGCCAGCTCATTCAGTTCACTGTCAGAGTACCAGAGCAAAGAATTCTGGATTGGGACCTACGGGGCCAGAGTACAAGGATAAACTGGGGAGGTGGATCTCACAGAGCTGTGCTGCAGGTTTCACCAAAGACTCAAGCTCTCAGAATCTTGCAGGCAGCACTGAAAAGTAGGGGACACCTACACTTCTCCAGAGACTGCAAGCCAAGGATCTGTCCTCTGTGCTTTTGCCGTGTGGGGACAAAGCTAGAGGCAATGCTGGAGCTGGGATTCTGGCTGTATCCACGGGGAGAGATTGGGCTCACCTTGGTGTGCCGGACCAGGCCAGCTATACTCTTCTTTTCAGCAGAAATCCCCTGCAGTCCCTGCCTAGACAGAGGAGAGGGAACATGTAGTCCAAGAAATACCCCCAGAAACAGCCTGGTGTGGGTCAGGCTACACAGGTCCTGTGTATGCCTGTTGGGGAAGGAGCACAGCCTACTCACATGGACTGAGCCTCCCGGAAATAGGCTGTGGCAAAGTCAATCATGGTATAACGATCACCAGCAGGGACTAACATGGTGCTGTCAAGTTCTGATGTCAGGCTGAGAACAGAACTCTGCAGGGACATCACCAAAAAAGTCAGCTGAGGAATTGCAGTGTGTGTTCTCACCTGCCAGACTCCATCTATGTGTGGTACCTCCCCTCCCACTATGATAGTATTTGAGTGTCTCTGTCTCCAAGGATTAAACAATCATCATCTTCCCTCTTGGAGGCCTTCCTGGCCTTGGAGGTCAGACCAGGGGTATGGACCCATCCTGGCAGCTCTCACAGAATCCAGCCATAACCCCTAGATGTTCCCCAAGGACAGCTCACCTCCCTGCTGGTGTTTCTGCTCTCTGGGGAAGATTTCCTTCTCTTCCGTAGCTCTGCACGTCTGTCCATGTTGGTGCTGAGGTAATCAGGGGCTGCAGTCAACTGCACCAGGTCGGTGGGGAAGAGACCACAGCGGCCACCAGTGCAGCCAAACTGCCAGCCTGCAGAAACAGGAGCCAGAGAGTCAGGAACCATGGCAGCTGCCAAGAGGAATGGGCACTGAGGCTTTCTACTGGCAAAGGAGATTGTCAGACTCGCCAGGGTTTCCTGCATCCTAAGGTAACACATGTACCCATATAGCTAAGGCAGCTGGAACAAGGTGGGCTGCAGGCAGAGGCTCATTATGCCAGCCTGCCCTTAAGAGTCCATACTCTCTGGTTGTGGGCACTACAGATCCAGCAGGCCCTTGATCCTGCCAATCTCAGCCCCCTCACCTGGCTCCACGCCTTGCATGGGCAGCAGCTCAATGAGGTCACCCTTCTTGAAGCTGAGGAGGCTCTTGTCGTCCACAACGTAGCTGCGCAGAGCAACGACGTAGTTGGTGTCCTGGGGGAAAACAATGGGGAGGTCAGGTCTTGTCCCAAGGATGGGAAGGACTCATGTCATCCCTTGGATGCTCTCAGGTCCATGTGGGAAACTGCCTTCATTCCCTGCTGCACTACAGCTGCTCCCTCACCTGCCTCAGCTCCTGCATGAAGAGTTCCACCATGGCCTTGATGCACGGAGCCTTCAGAGAGTGCAGGAGGAGCTGCTCTGTCTTCAGAGAGAACTCCAGGGCACTGCTGCCCTTCAGCTCCACTGAGAGCACATCTGCAAAGCTGAGAACACAAGTCAGTGTGCTCAGGCTCCTCCTGCCAGGGCCAGGGATGCAGAAAGTGGGGATGGGAGCTCATTCCAGGGACTGAGAATGGAGACATGTCTCAACATGCCCCATGGTGGCCTTTCACCAGCAGTGTGTTCCAACATTAATAGCACCACAGGCTGCTCATGGCTTTCACCATAGCACCCTGAGGAGCAACCTGTGATGACACACATGGAGCTGACTCACCCCCAGCACTTGCTTGTAAGCAAAGCACGAGGTAGGAAGGAAAAGGAAAAGCCAAACTCATTAGAAGGAGGGTCAGTGAGTCACAGCTGGCCTAGGACAGTCCTAGAGAGCACAGCGCAACTTGGAATTTTCAGCTCAGCCATTCAGTTTGCCTCCCAACACCCTGCAAGTGCCAAACTATCACCCTGCAGCAACCAGTGCCCTTCTGTGCTCACCAGTAGCTGCGAAGAATCTTGAGGTGCTCAGGATTATACGCGGCTGCTTTCTCCACCTTCAGCAGCCGAATGCCCCGGTGAGAAACACCCAGGACCTGCACATCACTTCCCTCTTCACCCTGTAAGGGAAGTGCAGCAGAGAGAATCAAAAGGCTGTGTCCCACCTGGACAGGTGGCAGCAGGGGAAGGAGGTGCCACACAAGGAGGCCCTGGGCTGACAGAGGTGTCAAACCCTGCAAAGTATGGCAGGCACAGAAGAAGGAGTGATGTGTGGCCAGGCAGGGAGACAGAAAGAGATCCCAGGTGAACTGGAGCCACAGCTAAAGCAAGCCCAGGGTCTGGTGAGAAAATGAAGACTCACATAAACTGGGAAGAGGCGGGAGAAATAGTTGGCCCAGTTGTCCCGAGCAGCCAGTACAATCCTCTTCTTTATTCCATCCTCCTTGATGGACTGGACATCGTTGCCAACCTGGAACTCCGCTAGCAGGGTTACAAAGCAGATATTTGATCAGCACGGTAAAGATGGCTGAGACTCCCTCTGCCCAGGGGCTCATTCCCACCAGCCCCCCTCTGTTCACAGCACAGAAGATGACATTCAGAGATGTAAGGACACCACATTACTTGCACACATCAGTCTACCACTGGTTTCCTTCCCCTTCTTCATGAAGCTGCAGTCAAAGATGACAGTTGGATTTTGAGACAACTGAAAATCTCATCCTTAGGTTTCAGTTTCCTCTCCCCACAAAAAACCATTTCAGAACTAAGTTTTTCTGGCTCAGAGAAATGTCAGGGCCCTTTTCTGGCCATTTGGCCAAACAAACATTCCTACACTTCACTCCACAGCACACAAAAACGTGCTTTCCCGCTGCAGTGACAAATATTACTCCTCTGTCTGAGAAGTCCTGTCTGAAAGGGCTTGGAGGCCAGTTTCTCATTTCAAACCAAAAGCTGAGATGGGCACAGGGAGGAAGGGATGATGGGGGTGTTAATTACTCAGCAGGTCTTTCATCTTGCGCTTCTCCTCCTTGGAGATCCGAAAGCAGGAGTTGGAGAAAGTGTCACGGATGATCTGCAGAGGAAGGGAACAGAGAGGCTTCCATTGCAAAGGCCACATCTGACTGTGTTGGAGCATCTGAGGCTGTTAAACAGACTGAGACTCAGAGAGGAGTGAACAGGGGCTTGACTGGATGGACCTGGAGAAGAGACTAACACTGCTTGGGATGGAGAAGTGAAGGCAACTTATGCAACATAATTAGGGAATGTTTTGTTCCCAGAGAGACAACAGGCCTTGAGCCAAACCTGTTCACACAGGTACATACCTGTTCACACAGCAAGTTCAGGCAATAAGGATGGCTGAAATTTTCTTTGGGGTAAAACACCTGCAAGAGGAGGATAAAAACAACAGTGGTGTTACAGACGCTGCAGAAATAGCTCCCCAGGATGTTCTGCAATCCATATGCCCTGATGCCAGAGAGAGGTGAGGACAGGCAAGGGAAGAGACACCGTGAACGTGAAAAGAAGGACCAGGAGCAGAGGACCAAAACCTGAGTGGGGAGACCAAGGGATGAACCCTGGTCAGTTCAGTGCATTCTTCAATACTTGATTTTAAACACATTTGTACTATTTTAACAGGAAAACACCAGTTTAGTTTTGGATTTCTCAGTGCTTTGGAGAGGAGGAAAGGACAGGTAGGGAAACTGAGACACAAGTGTCAGTAAGGCAGGGCAGGACCCAGATCCCCCATGACATGATCCCCTGCCCCCATATCCTGTGTCTGTCACCTCCTCACAGAACTATCTTTGTGCTTTTATCTTACATTGGGTGCCTACAAAAAACATATTCTAACCAAAGGTGTGACAAGTTCCCTCCCCCCACAGCCAGCCCTCAGCTGTTGAACTGCACCTCTTTGCGCAGGAAGATTTTCCAGGCAGGGTCCGCATAGGAGAAGCTGACGCTGGTGGTGAGCTTGTACAGCTGGGTCTTGATGCCATCATCATCATCTACTGTTACAGCAGAGTCTGTGTGAGGAGAAAGAGCAGTGAAAATGGGCCTTGAGGGCTGCAGGGTAACCTTCCCACCTGCCAAGGACCTGCCAGGAGAAAGGGGACAGTGCCTGGTGCCTGATTGAATATTACTGTCAGGGACCCTCCTGGAGGTCAGTGACCAGCTGGTGTGAGCACAGACCAGTCACTTTCAGCATTTCTGATAACATTTACACTTCCTGTATTAGCCACAAAGTTCAGTGTTCATAACATAAGCACTCCAGGGATAGGGAGCACTCAGCTTCCCAGGAAAAACAGTACCCCTGTGCTTGAGGTTGAAGGCACAGGTTTCACTTTATGTTACTACAAAAAAGCTGCTGAAGGTTTCAAAGGGACATAAAAGTTCTGCCCTGAGCTTGGAGGCTGCAAGGTTCTGGTACAAGGCACCTGGTGCTTGCACTGGGTTGTCTCTCTGCAGATCTATCAAAGACAGGCTCAGTCTGAAGGCAACAGTTCAAAGTTGTTGCTTTATGAGGTAGGAATGTCTTCATTTAAGCACTTCAAACTTTCGAAACTTCAGAGCTCTTAGACAAGAAATGTAGTAAATCCCCTAGTTCAACTGTTTCTATGTCCCTATGCAAAAGCATGTAGGGATTTTTCAGGCTAATCCAGTTACTTCAATTTACTTTCAAAGGACTTGCTAAAGAAACGTTCTTTTAAAGAGAGGGGGAGCAGAAAGGGAAATTCTTTAATATCAGAGAAGCTGCTGCAAGATGGAGTACTTCAGTGATGTGTTTGGCTGACTGTTCCTTGAATGTTATAAAAAGGAATGTTGATGAGAGTTTTAAACAGCTTGAAATACATTGCTACAGGTATTCAAGTATAAAATGAATTGTGGCTCCAGGCTCCCACTGAAATTCAGAGGCAAAACTAAGACTGAATAACACTTCAAAACTCCTGCTGGGAAGCTTTAACTGTGCTTTTTTTAAGAGGGCAACATCCAAATACTCTTCATGTGGCCGAGTCCAAGGTCTCTCAGGCTCATTCTCCCTCTGAGAAACATTCCTCATTCCTCAGCCTCTCTAAGGTCCCTCCACAGGCTTTGTCAGATGAAACACCTGGCTTCCCATTCCTCCCTGGTCTAAAGTCCACCTGTCAATTGCTACTTTGATAAAGTAGTTACGCTTCAGGTAGGCAATAAAAAGTATTGTGGACTGGACCGTGATAAAGCCCAAAGGATCTTTCTATTTTTAGCTGTGTTTTTCAGAAGGGAAGAGTTAGAGCAGGGAAGTGCCAAGTTGATTCCTGGGCCGGACTGGAACTGTGACATCTCTGATTCCACACAGATCTGATTGCACAGTCCCCCTGGATTCTCACAGCTGACTGAAGACAGAACATGTGCCAAGACTCTCCAGGGCCACTGGGCTGATTCCAAACCCATCCCCTCTCTGCCCCACTACCCACTCCCACGTGGGTGAAGTCAATACTCACCCCTCTCTGTGGATTCCTGCCTGCCTTGGTCCTCAAGCTTTAGAGGTGAAGGCAGTGGTGGGAGAGGAGGGGGAGCAGGAGGACCCTCAGATGCTGGTGGGGTAGAATCTGGCCTGAAGATGGACAGGAGAGGCAACTGCTTCTCCTTGATAGAGCTGGAAGCTGAGCCTGGCTTGGGCTTGATAGGTGGAGGTACTTTCTTCTCTTGTGGCACAGGAGATGGCTGCAAGACAGCAAAACCATTTGACCCAGTCTGTTTCTGCATTCCTCTGCTCTGTCCTGACACTGCTGTTATAAATCATCCCTAGGGCAGCACACCATCCCTGGAAGCAAGATCTATGTGAACAGGGACATCAGGACCTTTAAATCAACACACAGTCTACAAAGAGATGAAGACCAGCCAAACCCAGAGAACCAAGTATTTGAGATTGAAGCCTCCAGTTCCCTTCCCCAGGAAAGGGAAAAAGGACGTTAACGGGCCAAGGCCTTGGTGTCAAATGTGGAGAACATGAATTGCTTGCTTCCAGATCAGCCTTAAACATAGTCCACAACAGGACTTGCTGCTCCTGAGCCTTTTCTTCAGGATCTCAGATGGTTCTTCAGGAACCCAGTTTAGGATAGGCAGCACCATGGTATGAGCTCCCAGCTATCTGTTAACCCAACAAGAAATCACCTGGCTGTGACTGCGCGACCAGGGAGCTCCCAGCCTGTTGGAGCTTGGATACAGAGGCTCTCTCTGCTGAACTCTTAAGGTGACCAGAAAGCAAAGAACTCACTGATGGGCAAGATGAGGAGTTCATCATTCCCAGCTTGGCCAGAGCCTCATTTTTGGGGTCATTCCTCCTTATAAACGGCTTGTTTACTCTCCTACGAGGAAACGGGGAACAGAGTTACAGAGGCTGCAGAGGGGTTGTGGCCACGATGGAGTACATGGCAGTGCTGAGACACAGTCCCACTCATCCCCTCCCAGCCCACGTGGTGGGTCCCTCTCACCTTACAGGCTCGATGGGCTGGGGCTCAGGGGCTGGTCGGCTCTGGTACATTTTGATGATGTTGCCAATCTCGCGGCTCGGTGCAGGACGCGACTCGGGGCCTGAAGGCTTCACTACAGGTGCCTCCTTCTTCACTTTTGGTGTCTGCTTTATTGGCTTTGGCTCAGGATACGGCACAGGGGAAGCAGGAGCTATTGGGGTGACAGCTTTAACCAAAAGACCAGCAAAGGCACAGGAGAAATCCCTTTGTCTCGTTTGAAGTTCCCTCTCTTTCACCCCAAGGCTGACTAGCCATGGCCTTCCACTGCCTTGCTTTGGGATCCCACTTCCCAAAGCTCAGAAATTCCTCTCTCTCCTGTCCTGCCAAGATACGGACTCTCAGAAAAGTCAGATCTTTTCCTCTGCCTGTATCCTGGCTTGATGTTCCCAGAAAGTTCCTGCTTGTCAGCCTGCCTGAGTCTCCACTTACCTGCCTCTGGTTTGGGGACGGGCTTCACTTCTTTCCTCTGCTGCTCCTGTTTTTTCTCCTCCTCCTGCTCTGGCTGGGGATTTGCTGGTGGAGTCCAGGTTTTGGTAGGAGGCCTGACTTTCTTCACTCGGATATGTTGCTCTCCTGCATAGAAAGGGGAACTTGAACTTACTTAATACCACACTCAAAATCTAGAACTGATAGCACAGTTCCCACTCTTGCCTCAGTCAGCACAAACCTATGTTTCTAGAGGTGAAGGAGAGTGTGGCAGTCAAAAGCCCAAAGATTTCCAGCAAACTGTCCCCACACCACCTCACAATGTAGCCAGCTGAACAAGCACCCAAACCTCCTGTTAAACACAGTGCCAGCAGCTCCTGCTGGGCATGGCTGGTTCCAGACAGGGAGCCAAGAACACCTTGTTATGCCAGGGAGGCTGCAGAGCAAGGTGTTATCATGAGTGAAATTCCCAAAGTGGTAGATGCTCACCCATCTTCTGAAAATATTGTCTCTTCTGCTGGAAGGTTTCCCGAGGAAAGTCATCATCTCCACTGCTGGAAAACTCATCTCCTGTGTAGTCATAACCCTGCAGGTAGTGCACAACATGGTTAGTTGGCACTAACCAGCAGGAAGGAACCTCCACAGTGCCCTTCAGTTCAGAGGTGATCCTCTCTCCAAATTCTGACCTAGAACTCCCCATCTGGGAGTGTCCCAAGGAACTAGTTTTTTACACAAGCAATCATCAACCAAACCCGGAGAAGAGTGATTATGTTAGAGGACCAAAGCAGCTTGTTGGAAGATAAAGATCTCAGAGTAATTAATTTTCCTATGGAAAAACTCTGCCCAGCTGGAAATTAATTGTACAACACTGCAGCCCAACCTCCACAGAGCAAATGCCACCAAGGTTTGACCCCGTGCCTTAAAGACTCAGCAAGCAGAGTTTGAAAGGCCTCAGAATCATTGGTAAGCACAGCTCTCTGCTCTCCTCTCTGCCAAACCATGGCCACAGTGGGAGGGAAGCAAAGCAAACACCAAACAAGAAATTCGAACCAACTTCACCACCACTGTTTGTTTCTCATGCCTTAGCTGGTGGTTCTGAAGACTCTGGTGGTGTTGCAGCATCCTGGCTTGTGGGAGGCTTCTTGGGTTTTGGGGCAGTGTCTGGGGCTTGGGCTTGTGGTAGACTTGAGACTCTCGGTCTTGACTTCTCAAGAGACTTTTGCAGCTGCTGCTGCTGTTGCTGGGAAATGCTCATGGCTTGAAGGGTCATCTGCTGGGCCTGGAGGAAGGAATTGCAATGTCCATGAGCTCCAGGCTGCCCAAAACCACCATCCATCAGTCAGACTGCCCCACTCTTTCACTTGGTAACCACAGAACATTTACATATTCCATTGCAAATTTCCCATGTAATGGACAGGGAGTCTGCTCCCACCTAGCCAAGGATGCACAGCTCCTGACACCATCCCAAGATTCAGCTACCAGATAACCTGGGGCCATCAGGCACTTAAGAACTTTGTACAGAAAGCAGAACGTTGCAGATCTGCATCTGTAGTAAATCCCACGGGAATTACCACTGAATCTTCTCAGGGCCTGTCCTTGTCCCTGTGACTCACTCACCGTTGGTGCCTCAGTGGCCCCATGTAAACAAAGGGGCAAAAAGGGAGTTCCCAGTTTTGCAGCCTTAGGTAATCCCAGCTTTACAGAGCTCGCCCCCAGCACACAGGCACAGAGTGTCACAGGGCAGGCCTAAGGCAGGAGGGGAGCAGGGCTCCCCCTCCATGGCACATACACCAGTGTGTTGTTCTGCCCCAGTTCCTGGGCCCCTCCCAGCCAGTCCCTCCCACTCACCATGAGCATGGCTTGCTGGTTGATAAAGGCTTGCTGCTGTGCTGCCAACTGGTTGGGATCCACACCTGGAACCATGGGCTGGGGCAGAACCATGGCTGTGGAAGACACACACACACATCTGCAAGAGCCCACAGGGGATTGTTCCCCACAGTGTTTGAGCATCAGCCAGGAGGAGAGTGTTCACTGAGCCTCCTACCTGACACTGAAATGCACAGGCCCCACTGACACCTCCTTTCCATCCCTCCCCTCTGTAGCTACACTGCTATTACCTGGCATAGGTGGGATCCCACCAGCCCCTGGTACCATGGGCATGGCTGCTGGCACCCCCATCATGGAAGGCATGGGCTGGTAAACTGGTGCTTGAGCCATTCCAGGGAAGCCTAGAGACAAAAGACCATGTGCACAGAGCTTTTGGGAAATCAGGCCCTGAGCAATCCCACAGAACACAGTCGCATCTGGGGCTCTCCACATGCACCAACCACAGCAGGACACACCAAAACTTAGGTAGGGAAAAAAACCCTAAGAACAATGTGTGGCCTGACAGACTTTAAACAGAAGTATCCAGATCCTGCTTCTGCAGTTTAGGACACCACCATTCTTCATAATGAAATATATTAATAACTCCTGCCTATGTACAAATACAGAGGAGGGGTTTTATTGAGGGATGAGCAAAGATCTCTGGGAGTGGGACTGTCACATCCATATTGGTCTCTTTGCAGCAGGCAGCAAGGGTGGGTGAACAACAAGCCCTGGCCTGGATGACTTTCCGTGAAGGAGCTGTGGGGAGAAAGGAATTCCTCTTCTCTCAGCAGGCAAGTCCCATATGGGGCCACAAAACAAATCCCACTGAGGGAAAAGGCAGCAGAGTAAGGGGCAGCCAGGAGGGAGTCAGCACACAGCACAGGTCTGCTGAATCATGTCCTCACCAATGAGAATGGCCCTGGGATGCCATGGGAAGATCATCGCATCCCTCACTCATCTAAGTAGCCACACAAATGGCAAAGTGACCTCGGGCCAGTGATCTGTAATAGTCCTTGTCATGCCCCAGAGCCTCTTCAATAGCCAAAAATAGTCCCAGTCTCAGTAATGACTGAACTGGATGTTCCCCACCTGTCTGAAACTGCTGGGTGTGTTCCTACCCATGCAGATTTCTCAGTGCCATTAATATACTGGTGTTTGACTCCACCCTGCTGAAAATGCCTGAGTCTTAGCTCCACAGAACAAGGAAAAGTAAAGAAACCAAACACACAAATCAGAACCTCTGCAGGGTTCAGACTTACTAACCCAAGGAATAGCTACAGATGATGGGAAATTCTGTAAGGAAGCAATAAGAAACATTAAAACCCTCCCCTTACAAAGGCACCAACTGTTTTGTGAAAGCACAAGGTGAATAGAAGGTGAATACACAACTTACAAGAATTTGCCTGGGGAAGAGGTGGGCTGGCTCAGAAACAAGCTACCTACTGCCTTGACCCCCAGACCAACTCAAGAGAGAAATTAAAAGCAGAACAAAGGTGGTTCCCTTGCCTAACACCTTCCCCAAAGCATCTGGCTCCCAGCACCTGCAAGTGAGGAGTACAACTTCTGATGACCTGTACCACAGACCAGTGCTCTTCATGAACCAGCTGGGTTCATGCAATAATTAGCATTTAAGGGGCTCCCTGACTTGTCCTCACTGAAGCTCCTGTAGCTCCACAGGTGTTGCCAGCTGTCCCCATCCCCTTACAGACCTGTAGAAGGAAGGATTCCTCTCCTTGTGGGTCCAATCTTCCCACCTCCTTTCATGCGTCCAGTGAGACTGTCCCTGTTCTCCAAATCCTGCATCAAGAAAAAACAGAGTTACCTGAGCTCAGAGAGGGAGAGACATCCAGAGGAAAGTCTGAGCTGAGCAGAGGAAGTGAATAGGCAGAGAAATGCTTGAGGGAGTCACAGGGACAGGAGAGCTGCAGAGGAAAAGTGGGAATGGGCATCAGGGGACTTACTGATAGTCTGGAGCCCTGATGCAGCACAGGGCTGAAGAGATCATCCACATAGTGATCCAGGCCTACAGGGTTCCTCAGGTCATCTCTAATCCTTGGATCTGGGAGCAGAGAGAAGTCTGGTGAACAAGGCAGGTAAGGAACATTCCCCTGCCTCCAGTCCCTGTTAGACAGTCACATTTTGGAGAGTAGCCCTTCCCTGCTCTACATCAACAAGAATCACCTGACTCCCCCTCTGCTTTGATTCCCTTGCTGGGGCCCACCTGGCCCTTCCCAGAGTCATCTGAAGGTTACCTGGATGGAGATCCATGAATTCTGGAGGCAGGCTAGGGGGTGGGAAGGAAGGGGCCTGGATGCCTGGAGCAGGAGGGATCCTGTTGAAGAGGAAAATGACACGAGGACCAGAAAGATGAACCACTGGGTGACAGGGCCACAAGTGGTGGGGCAGGAGGAAGAGGTGACTTACGAATCCAGGTCAGAGAACTGGTAGGTGCTCCTGTCCCTTTCTGGAGTGATGGGGAACTCAGCTGGGGACTGGGAAGCACTGCTGAAGTTGCTGGTCTCCTCCATCTCTCCAATGAGGTCCAGCACAAAGTCACAGCCCAGCAGGTCCTGCCATGTGTTGCCAGTTAACATGGAGACAGACCACCCTCGAGTCTTCTTATCACAGCCTCTGGTAACAGGGAAAGGAAGGAGAGGAAAGACGTCCAGGTAGGCACAGGAAAGGGAGAAGAAGGAAAAGATTGCTTTCAGTCTCTTCTTGCTTTGTCTATCCTGTCTCGAGTCCTTTAGATTTATGTTGTGAATCAACCACTAAGTGCCCAGGGTCAGGAAAAAAAAAACAAACCACAACTAGAATAATTCAAGATTTGTTCTCTTTAGATTTTTTTTTTATTTTATTTTTTAAAGAAGCTGCTCTAAGAGATCACAACAGTGATTCCTCTGTTCCTAAAGAAGCCCACAGTGTATGCACACAGATGGAGGGTGAAGGAGAGAGCACAAGGTGGAGTGGGTAAGGAGTGACTATTCCACATAAATCCCAGCCTGCAGCCCCAACCAGTCTGAACTTTAGAACTAGTGACAGCCTCTTTCACACCCCCAGACCTTCTCCCATCCTCTGGCAGTACCTTGCATTTAGGATCCAGGCTGCAAACTGCTCCCCAGTCATCCAGGACTCCACCTCAGCTGAGAACACCTCCTCTGGCACAGAGAAGAGAGTCAGTCCCCACAGCCTCCCTGACAGGACCCAAAGCAACCCCTGCACTCCACGGAGCTGGAAAGTCTCACACACTCCTGAGCAAGGGCTGTATAAGGCAATATTTGAGAAGGGAGAAAGGCAGAAAGTCCCTGAAATAAATTGCTGCTGCTGGGCTGGGCTGTAATGGGGAACAGGAAAACCAAACCCACGGAGATGCACAACCAGAACAGCCTGCTGTGAGATGGGCCAAACCTAGGAGAATCTCATCCCTCAGCCTCAGTAGAAGGTCCCAGCAGGCCCAGACTTCACAAGCTTTGGGTCTAGATTCAGATGCTTTTATCCCCCATGGTTGCACCAACCAGTAGCAATCAGCGTTCTGATCCCTCCTTACTAAGCTGAGGGAAGTATTTTCCAAATGCTGATTTCCGCACTGGAAACGTCCTTAGGGACTGGAAGACAGCAGGAGGGCAGAAGCATGAGTTACCATTAAAGGTATGAACATCCAGCACAATCTTCCCTCTCCTCTGGTTTGCTGTCCACTCCAGCCGAGTGGGAGGGTAGGCCCGAGAGGATGCAGAGCCTGTCTGTGTGTGATGTGCTGCTGTCAGGATCTTGCGCTGGCAGACAGCGTTGTAGCCCTCCATGCCATGGTCTGACACAAATCTAGGGAAAGGCAACTGCATTTAGCACTCTGCTCATCCCTTTAACTGTAGTGCAGGCGTGGATTGCTCTTTTCTCCCCCTTACTTCAGCAAGGGCTTCTCCAGTGCTGGTGAAGGCACAAAGCAGCTCAGCACAGTCGCCATCAGGACCCAGGCTCGCTGGCTGTGCTCCACGTCTGGGTTCTTCCATGCCTGGGCAACCACCTGGCTGAGGATTTCGTCACGCAGAGCCGTGTTACTCAAACCTCTGCCAGCAATGTAGTTGCCCAGGAGCACCTCCTGCCAGCCATAGAGGCTCTTGTCACCAATGAACCGCAAGATCTAGAGGCATCCAGGGGGAAAAAAGAGAGCTCAGGCTGTAATCTAATCCTCTGTCCCAAACTGTGTTGTAAGGTGACAACCTGGGTTGTGGATGTCACGGTGCTGGTGAGCCTAAGAGTAGGCAAAACTCAGATCAGAGTCTGTTCTCATGTTTTTGTGCACCACCCAAGTCTGGGGAATTTGGGAGGCAACATTTGTAGAGACTGAACTCTGACTTTTAGTCAGGATGACTTCAAGTCTCTTCTTATTTATGACTCAGAATTTGGTCTTGGGCAAAATACTTCCCCTTCTTTGGGCAGGGCTTAGATACACACCTGGATTACCACAGGACATTTGTTACTGAGCCCACTGACTGCTGAAAAGACTTTGGTACAGTTAATATTATACCAAGTAGTATGAGAGGTGATGTCTCAACAAACTCATTGAAGCAATGATTCAGCTTCTTGGCTATGCATATCAATATCTTCAATGCATATCAATATCTCCAATGCTTTTGTATTTTCTATTTCTCACCTTTAGGTGCAGAATAATTTCTTTCATCCTCTACACTTCAATATATCATTAATTAAAATATTTCTAAAATATTTTGGAAAGAACATTTAAGAGTGACAACACTTCTAGAAACAGTTAATGGTACTAAGGGTGTCAGAGATTCAATGAGAAAAACAGGGGATGGTGGTTGTTTAGTTCTCATGGAAATCTTTGTAGTAAATCCCTGCTTTATTAGCAGTGGAGAAAAATTGCCTTTGATCTCCAGGAAAAAGAGTAGTATTCTGCTTAAACACAATCCTATTCACAAGATTTTATTGAATCTTACACTCTTCTATAATTGGGATCATGAGGACAAAGCAAGAGACTGGGTTTAGGTATTAACTTTCTTAATGGGTTTATTTTAATTCTATGTAATCCTCAAAAGGATTACCAGATTTACTTAGAAATTATCTGGAGTTTCATTCTATTTTCAAATATTTCAACTGTTAAGAAAAATGTCAAGAAAGATCTGTTTCACGTCCACAGAGTTGTAATAACACCATCCCCTTCACGCAAACACTACAGTTGGGGTGTGGTTCCAGTTTTCCTGATGACAAAGTCCTGCCCTTTTCCAACCTTTATACGACACTTCACTGTCCCCTGTTGAGTGACACAACCGTGAGCCTGAGATGCAATTGATGTATTTACTATAAACCACATCATGGAAAAAGATGTGGGTTAAATCAAATTTTTTATGACTGACAGGTGAGTAAGCAGTTGAGGAGAGAGACCTCCCTTACACTGTCATTGTTACTGAATCTGGAATAGCAGGAAAATAAGGCTTAGCAGTCTGATTCCTATGTGTTCTGCCAAATTCTGAGGCTACATCACCAGGCAATTCACTCTGATCCCAGTGGTCTGTGGTTGGTCTGTGCCTCACCAAGAACACAGCAACCCTAAGGGGCTGCATGTGGTCTCTGCCAGGCTGCTGCAGGGCCTAGGAGGGGAAATTTATTCTGTTTTTCCACATTTGTATCATAAGAACAGTATCCACCATCAGCAACTTGTTGTATAAAGGCACCACAATATTGTCAGTGCCTGCCTGTTCTTCAACAAGATCAAGAACGACGTCTCTTACCAGTTTGTTGGTCTCAAGTGCACTCTCGTGGTGTTCAGTGCCCAGCTGGGTTAAGGGGTGATGCAGAGGCTGACCAAGGGCAGGAAAATCTGGCTTCTACAAAGAAACAGCAGGATGGAAACAGAGTTTGCTCCTGGTGCTGCTAGAACTAGTGTGTCTGCCCAGTGGGGAAGCAATGATGAGACAGAAAAGGAGTTCCCACCTGGAAGTGTGACTTAACGAAGGAGGAGAAGGGATAGCTGTTGATGGTGGGTGGGAGGGAAAGGTCATCTTTGACCTTGATTTCTGGAGGCAATGCCTCAGTTATCTGGTTGGTCTGTGCTTGGTGTCGACCTGCAAGAGAAGGAGGTCTGGTGTTGTGGCAGGTGGGAGACAGAACACACACAGCTCACCCAGCCACATGTGGCATCTCACCCTGCCTCTGTGCCAGCCCCTGGCTCCAGGGACACCCAGCCCACCCCTGCTGCCTCAGACCCCCAAGCAGGTACAACCTCACACCTTTGACACCACAGGGCCTCACTTTAGGAGAGAGATTTTACAGCTCTGATCTTTCAGACCTCTTTCTCCAGGGAACACTGAGAGGGCAGGGAGCACGTGGAGATTCAATTCTGTTCTGCAGCATTTACAAGGCAGGAAACACTGAGCTCACATTGAGATCCTGCTGTTAACTGTTCAGTCAACAAGTAAATGAGAGGTCTTCAAGATGAGGGGGTTATCATGGGTAAGAGAAGAGCAAACATCTTCGTAAGTGAAGGGATTTCTCAGTGCAGCACAACTCCTGTGCATTCCTCTGTTTCCAAACAAACGTGTCCCTGGATGCTCTCCTCATCCTCTCTGTTTACACCCCAGCAGCTTTCATTTCCAGCAGTTTCAGTGTTCCCTGAGCTCCTCTGGGTTACATTGCTCACTAGACCAGCTGATAGTCCCTAGAGGGCTGTGCCATGAAGTGTGAGTTATTTGGGAATCCAGCACAGTCTGCTCCAGCTCACAACTCTTCTGCCTGATTGTATCCCCCCTTGTACCTCACAGAGGGCCAGAGGCACCACTGGTATTTTGTTTGACACTACACTGACACAAAGAGGCAAATCCTGCCTCAACCTATTTGCAACTTGAATATTCACACTGCACAAAGAGCTACAGAGGAAACACAACTGCAAATAACTTAATGCTCAAGGTCAGGTGAACAATTTGGGAAAATTTTTCTGCAAGAAGTATTTTGGTGATTTGAAAACAGAGCAAAAAACTTTCCGAACCAAGCAAAATGGAGATCATTGAGTTGATACTTTATATCACCCTTAAGTTAAAAATTATCATGTACTCAACTTGTTACATTGTCACATCTTTAGGTTGATGCATTTTTACATCCCAACTTGTCACATTGTTGCATCACTAAGTTGTTATGCTGTTTCCCCTTCCTTCTATTTTAAAAGAAGTAACTACTTTTGAGGAAAAATTTTTAATTAAGCCCCAAAATATTTATTTGAAATTGCCAAAATTGTGGTTTTGTCTTCTTCACCTTCAACTTCCCTAAATATTTTTGAGTAGATAAAAGATGGGTTTGAGTTCTCCCACCCCAGATATTCAGCTCTGCTAGAGACTCGAGTTCATTGAGCAATTTGCTGTCACGTAACTTTGACCAGAGTTCTGCACCATCATGTCATCAGTTCTATCAGCCTAGCTCGTAAGAAGAGCTGAAAAATGAACAAATGTACTGATTTTTAATCTGGTGTTCTGCCCCCTGGCCCAAATTACTTTCCCGCTCTGTCGTGTTGGGAAACAATATTCACAGTGCCATTTGCCTTTATCATATTTACACTGCAGTGATCATAAATCAAATCCAACCTGGGTGACAGGCAGCAGGTAGAACAAACACACACTGACACTGCTATAAACGAGGAAATACACAGTGAAGTGAAACAGTTCAGGGAAGGGAGGGAAGGAGGGGGGGTTTCTCACCTTCAACGAACTGCAGAAGGGCTGCAAGCTCTGCAGGGATCTCCAGCAGCCCCACGTCCTGCAAGAGAGAGGCAAATCAGTCACTGGGCTGCCAGCAAAGGAACCACAGAGAAACCCTGAACTGTGCTGCTGGGACTGGGTGAAGCTGCCTGGGCTGAGCATCTGAGCCAAACCAGCAATTTCTGCAACATTCACGACTAGGGAAGTGTCACAGTAACACAGGTGTGTGTTGTGGGCCATCAGAGAAGGGAAAGAGCAACTCCTTAATAAAAAAAAAAATAAAAATAAAAAAATTCAACTGACACAAGAAGAATGACAGTAAAGTTGACTTTCTCTGACTCATCTCTCATTACTAATAAATCTGGCATCTTGCACAGAAGAGGTTGCAGCTGAAGGGTAAGGGCTGTTTCTTGCTGTGCCTCTTTCTGGCATTCTTAGTTCTATTTTTCAATATCCAGAAGTGGTACAGCATAAATAGAGACCTGATTCTGATTTTTTTTATGCACAACACTATTTTGGAGTTTCCAAAGGAAACTCAGATCTGTGCCTGGGTAATTCAGATGAGAATCTGGCAAATAAGCCTTGATTTTTCACTGGTTTGCACCTTGCATGATGGTTGCATTGGTAGGAATAAATGAGCCAATGCAGCAGAGTGTATCAGCATCACTGTCTGCATATCATGTCAGTTCAGGGCATTTCAGACAGAACTACTCAGATTAAGGCATAATGAAACCAAGCCAAAGACACAAAGCATGAGCTTTGGAGGGTTTTTGTGGGTTTTTTTGAAGATCTGCATAGTAAAGTCTTTTGTCACCATCACACTATTCTGACATCTCTCTCCACATAATCTCTAGCTTAAGCTTTAAGCAGCGATGCTTAAAGACACATTCACAGCTTTTTTGATCAGTTTGATTTTGCTGACAAGAAGATACTTAACTTTAAGTCTTGTTTTTCAATGGTGTATTCAGGAAGCGGACTGTGAAATTCCACAGTCCTGGATCCACACCTGAGGAAGCAGGTGATATTACAAGAGCACCCACCCAGTGCTAAGTATTCCTGTTGTTACTGACAAATCTGTCCAAACTTATGGATGATATCAGGTCAGATTCTCTCATTACACACCTCACAGCAAATGTGTGCCTGGTCTAAACATACAAATAATGACATTAGTTAGCAGTGTAAATACAGGCTAATCTTCTTATGAAGCCTTTAATACATCCCTTCCTCTACAACATCTTCTGTAAATACATTTATGCAAAACAGTCTCATTCCCGCCTTTCATAATAGAATATGATCATCAAAAATAATCTTTCTCCCAGCTCCAAAGAACAGGTCCAGTGCTCTGAACAAAGACAGTGCTCTGCCTCAGGACCGCTTCATGATGCCTAGTGATGCCCAGGGTCTGGGGAACACTGAACTAATGAGATATTTGTGTGTTAGAAGGCTCTTTAACCAATCTAACCTGCATTCTTGCTGCAAGGTTTCCAGCACACATGTGTACACCCTCCAGACCTGCAGCAGATCTGGGCTGAGGAGGCACAAGGCAGGTAGAACACCTGGATAACCTGGCTTGTTATCTCAGAGTCTCCCAGATCCTTTGACAACTTACCATTCCTTGGTTGGGACTGTTCTCTGTATCACCACTGGCCAGGGATCTCTGTCTTCGTTTCCTTTCCTCTAACTCCTGCTGTTAGGAGAGGAAAAGGAGATGGGGGGTGGGAAAATATGTGTATGAAGTCACTTTCAGCTACTTCTGAGGGCAAACGCTGTGGGTGGAAAGGAGGTGGTGTCCTGCTCCAGCAGACAAAATGACAGAACAGCTACAGAGCCTTCCTGGGACCCCACGCAGGCAAAGCCCTGAGCTTTGCTGAAGAACCACCTGCCCTGCACAACACAATCCAACAGCAAGAGCCTTCACCACCTGCCCAGCATCCTGGCACACCTTCCTCCCTTGCTGAGAATTTGATGTGTCCCAGGACAGGAGCTGTCAGAAACATTCACCTGCCTCCTCCAGCATCAGAGAACACGATAGCACAGCCTGAACACGGGTGGGTGGACTTATCCACGGAGAGGAAACCCTTCAGAAGAGGCAGGAGGGATACCAAAAGCCAAAATCCCTTGCAGCTCTGCCCTTTCCCATCCATTCTATTGTTCCCCAGCTTCATCACTCACCTGACTCCTGCTCCAAGATGGAAAAGGAGGGTCTCTGTTTCTGCCTTTCTCTCTCTCCTGCTTGTCAGTGTTGCAGATCAGTGTGAGTGGATGGGAGGTTATGAGGGTTGGGCTGAGAAAGACAGTGACATGCTAAAGTCCAAAGGGCAGGGCTGAGGGGTGGAGGGAAAGGAGGAACTTTGCAGCAGGTGAACTTTGAGACCTTTGTTGTTGCTCCTGTGTGTACAGAGACCTCAGCAAGCAAACACTGAAGTAACAGAAATGCATTCAAAGGAGCTGTGCTGTTGAGGTTTCCTGGGAGAAAGAAGCCTGGATCCTGTCCAAGTAGGAGGGCAGAAAACGGAATAGAAACTCACGCTGTTCTGGGAATGGCATGACAGAAGGCACCTGTGCAGGCTCCCATGACTGTCCTCTACCCTCTTCCCCATCCTTTGTTAGCCATGCCAGTAGTGCTGGTAGTTATGGGGATAGTGATGGGGGTGTTAGTGGTTGCTCTAAGCATGAATGGTCTGATTTCATATTTTTAATTTTCTTTTTAATAACTTCTGCTGCAAAATACATTCTACACTTTTGACACAGCCATGGCTCTCTCCTGCACACAACTTTCTGTCTTCTCAATAAGCTGCCATCCTGTTCTCACCCCACTTGATTTCCAAAAGGCCAAGGGCTTGAGCAGTCTGAGGTAGCTGTTAAGGGATCAGGGGAGGATCACTGTGGACTGAAAAAATCTTGCATTTCAGTCACCATCTGGGAAAATACCAGAAACTGAACTGGGCAACTGAAAGAGCAAGGTGAGTGACTCCTCATAGCTTGAGCAGAACAGCAGCCCTGAAGACCTCAGATGGAATCAGCTGTAGTCTGGTGTAGGGCGGCCCAGAGAAGGTCACACAGCCAGACACACAACTAGGCTGTGTTTGTACTAACTTTGCCAATTCTGAATGCTGTCTAGGAAGAGAAGGCTCCAGTCTCTGTGTGTCCTTCATTTGACTACATTTATGTCAGTCAGAGAGTGAGGGACATCTCACTGAATTGTTTCCAATAAACTTTCTAAAGCCATCCCTGCCCTGGCCTCTCTGTTTAGTCACCAGCTCTCTCTGCTTAGTGCAGAAATAGCTCCTTTTGTACACCTTGTCCTGAGGAGAGTGTTGTTACCTGGCAGCGCTTCCTCCTTTGAATCAAAGGTCTGGAGATTAAAATCATGGTATTAAATTGCACCAAAGTCTTCTTCAGCCTCCTGTAACGCTTCCTAGAGGGATGAGAAAAGAGAAGAATTGGCTAACGAGGGAAGCATCAGCAACACACACACACACATAAAGCAGGCCAGGAGCCAACATGAGGAGGGGCCTGGTCAGGCACATCCCCACCTGGCTGTTCTGGGCAGGGCCAAAGGGCTGTTCCTGGCCTGGCCTTTGACTCCTGACCTTGCCTGGTAGCCTCGGAAGTGAGCCTGAATGACTGTGACTTTCTCCTGGAGGACACGGAGGCGTCTGCGGTGAAGGAGGCACCGGAATTTCCTCTGCAGAGTAACAACAGCCCAGCTCTGCCTCTGGATCCATCGCCGCTCCAGCAGCTGCCTGGCCTTCTCCTTCAGAAAGACCTGGGCAAAGGCAGCAGCTGCTGACCCACGAGGGAAGCGGCAGCTTCTCTAAGAGCTGGGCAGTAATAAAAGCTGCTGGTTTCTCTCTTTGCAGCCTTTAAGGGTTCCTGCTACAGAGACTGGGGAGAGCAGGAGGCACAGTTGCAGAGACAGAGATGGATGCATTTGGGGAGGACAAGGAATCAAGGAGTGATGAAGGTTAGTAGGCAGCAAAGGGAGAAACCCAGATCTCCATTAAGGAATGCTGGGTGTACAAAGGAGTTGGCCACGCTACTACAACAATGTGGAGCCAGATTCTCCTGTTTATCCAAAACGCTAAAAATGCCTCCTTGAGATGAGAGGCAAAGCATGAGAGGGGAAGGCATGAAACATCCTCTCCCTGGGATCTCCATGCCTTGCCAGCCAGTGGATTGGTGGCTGGGCCTGTGGATTAAGATGGGGTTCTGGGTAGGCATCACCTTTGTTACTCCAATCTGATAGAGATCCGAGGGGTTCCCCAGCACACGAGCCAGCACTGCTGCACAGCCTTCTCTCTCCTCCAGGCAGCTGAGCCCTCGCCCAGCCAGGAGCCCATACCTGGGAGATGAGGTGTCCATGTGACAGAAGCCAGGGCTGTAACTGGAGCCCACAGAGAAACCACAAGTGTGCTGACAAGTTCATCCAGGGCCGAGTGGCTGGGGAATCCCAATCCTGTACCTGGCCAGGAAGTTCTGGAATGGAAGACGGATGGGATATCCCTCCTTTCTGATGTGGATAGCCTCCAGTATCCCAGAATGTCGCAGCTGACAAGTGACATATTCCACATCAAAGATATTTGACAGCTGTGAAGATAAGGCAGAAGAAAAATTAAAAACAAGAAATAAAAAAAAAAAAATAAAGGAGGCCAAAGGCAGAGAGTTTAGAAAGGGTCTCTCCTGAGTTTAGATCTTGCCATGATCTCTGAGCAATGGAATGCAAAATCCAATGCATTGTTTGGTGTCCAAACAACAGTGGCTTCTGTTCCTCCAGCACAGGGTTAACTCACATGGCCACAGGGGAGGGTGGGAGACAGAAAAAGGGGAAGAAAAGTCCCAAGCTACCAAATGAAGCAAAGAAGTTCAAATCCCGGCTGTGAAAGGAGAGCTGTTGGAGAAGAATAGACTTCAAGGAACTGGAGTACTCCATAAGGAGCTCAGGGTGCTGCCCTACCTTTTTGGGATTAGGGGTGATGCACCGAATGAAGAAGGCATGGCTCCTGGAAAACAGAAGGAAGAACCTTTGATCACCCTCCTCTCTGAGCTGACCCTAGAGGACTTCACACATTTCTGGGTGCAACAGCATCTCTCACCTTCTCAGCTTGGCTGTGAGGTCCTGCAAAGACTGCTGGAATTTGGACACCAGTGTGGAGGCCTGAGGCTTGAGCCCTTTTCCCCTTGGCCCCAGCTTCCTTTGCTGACTATAGGAAGCTTTAGCCTTCTGGAAAATGTGAGACACCACCTGCAAAAACAAAGAAATGAACAAAATTCCCTGAACTACAAGGAAAGAGTGACCTCTTCTCCCCGAAACTACCCTCAGGCAGTCTGTGCGTTTTATATAGAATGCATCAAATACGGGCAAAGACAACTTGCTCAATTCCCAAGTGTCCTTCAGTAAAACAGAACTCTTCATGGTTTCTCCAGATTCTCCTGACATCTGATCAGGACCTTTCTGCTTCTCATGTGAAAGCAATGAGTGGCTCATTAGGTGTCTGCAACACGTGTGGCTCATTAGGTGTCTGAAGCACTGCAGTACCTTGAGGCGGCTCTGAGAGAAGATGTCCAGCACCTCTGGACGTAGCTGGTCACGGTTTTTATTAAGGAACTTGTGGACCTGCAGAGGCAAAGTGTGGTTTAATGCACCAGGCAGACAGGCAAACACCCCTCTTACACACACCTTGACTGGGGCCATGGAGCTGGAAAGGGGGAACAAGGGGAAAGCCCTGGAGAATGAAGCTGGCTCTTCCTGCTGCCACCAAGAGTGAAGGGGACAATGACTTCTGCTTTTAGGAGGGATTGCTCCTCTTCCCTTCACATTGCCCAGCAGGCTTTGACCTCTCACTTCTTTTCAGCAGCAATAGCTTTCCTGGACTTCCAGGACCCTGGGACACGCAGTGCAGGCTATTGTGTCACTGAGGTCAATAACTATCTTACTTCTGCCCAGAGGCAGCTAAGTTGCTTCTCCTGATAAGAATCTCCTAATTTGTGATAAACTGATGCTCTAGAGGGATGTGGAGTTACTAAGGGAGTGTTTTGGTCACAGGACTGGGAGCTGGTCCATCAGGACACCCACAGCTTGTCTCCAAGCTGGGCTATTGCTCCAGCTGCTCCGAGCCCCTGCCAGCTCACCTGGTAGGTGACAGGGCCTGCATAGTGCTTCACAGTGAACACTGGCAAGGGCAGCTTGGGCTTGGTGTACCAGGGGCTGTTTCCATGATGGTAGTGACACTTTTGGAGGAAAGTGTGGTCTGTGGCCTGTAAAGGAGATGACAAATATTCCCTGCTGCTGCAACGTATTCAACAGACTGAAAAGCTGCTGTTAAACCAAAGGAAAAACCATCTAATATTGGTGCAGACACAGCAGCTGTTCAGTCTGGATAACAACTTCACCATAATCATCCTGTGAAAGGGATTACACGAGGGGCCAAGAGCTTCTCACCTGAGTCAGTGATGTCTGGTCATCCAGGATACACAAGATGCCATGAGGTTTTGCAGTGAGGAAATCGAGGCACGACTCGCTGTACATCTTGGAAATAGGAATCCAAGCTAACTGCTCTTGGCTGTATTCCTCCTGCATGTTAAAGACCAAATCCAGCCATGTTAACAAGAGGGATTTGGTTCGTTCATCAGGAAGTTGGTGTTCCACTGCTCTTGGGAACTTGCCTAGAATTATCTGGTTCTGTCTTATGAAACTTCTTCTAAGGCCACTAATGATTGTCCTAATTTAAGAGAGGAAGGCTGCTAAGCAGAGTGGTAAAGTGAACTGTAAAAAGCAACAAACCTGATAAATACACTTTCATCCCCAGTATATAAGTGGTACATAAAATGCTCCAAAGAAGCCAAACAGGCTTTAAAAGTAGTGGCTGAGGTCCTGGATCCTTCACCCTGACCAACTCACTTCTAAAACCTGCAAAAGGGAGCAATGCACTAACAAACTCTCATTCTCTTAATTTTACCTTAATTTACCACAGAACTAGTAAAAGATATTAAATAGGCTCTTTGGACTGGAATTCCATGGATACTGCTTAAGAGGACCAGGTCCATTCAGCTTCCTATTCACTGCTAAAGGACCCTCTCCAGCTGAGAACACCTCAGCTCATTCCGTCTGTGCTACCTTAACATGTTGTGGGGGTTCCACTGAGTTCCATTTACCTCTTCCTGGGCAATGACAGTCTGACTGAAAAACTGCTGGAGGTGCTCGTTGGCAAAGTTGATGCAGAGCTGCTCCAAGCTGTTCAACCCGAGATCCTGCAAAGATGAAAAAGGATAATCCTTTCCAACACCCAGCCCAGCCACGGACCTGTGGCTTCCTGTAAATGCTGCACAGCCTCAGCTGGTGCTGAGCTGAGCTGCTGGTTCAGGCAGCTGGTTCTGATCAGTGTGAATGAACCCCAAAAGTTCAAATCATCTTCTGTCTGGTCTGCAAGCTCTCAGCCTGATTTATTGACTAGGCTGAACAGCAAGAGGCAAGACAAGATGTGAAGGAGCATGAAGAAGAAGAGATCTCTTGGCTGCACAGCCCCACCTACATATTGCATTGTTCTCATCATTCCTTGAGACACAGATTTTAACAGGAGTCCTAAGTAAAAAAGTCAGAGGCGTTGATGAGCACTCACAGCCCAGACCACAGCAAAAGAACAGGCAAAGTAACCTCAAAACCATGTATGTCCACAATTCCCACGGCACAGTCTGATTCCCAGGGAGCCAACCACTCGTTGATCCTCAGCAGCAGCCACTCAAAAAGCAGGTAGTACAGAGTCTTGGCAATGGAGTCCCTGAGAGGGAGAGGGCAGTAAAACCAATTACTGCAAAGACTCTTGGGAGCATCTCACCAACCCAGGCAACAGCAGAAGTCACCTGGCATCGATGGCTCCTTCTACAGACAGAGGGGTGAAGATCCGATCATAAGATGTCACCTGGATACATAAAGAGCCAGAATTTACTGTTATTAACTCACAAATACACCTTTTTTTTTCTTTCTTTCTTTTTTTTTTTTTTTTTAAATCCACAGGGAAAACAACCCAACTAATAAATTGATTGTTTGGTTTTTTTTCCTATTTGGCCTGAGAATTTACCCAGGTATCAAAGGCAAAAGTAAGCCAAAAATTTTGCTGCCACATTTCTGGGGGTGACTCAGCTGGCCAAACTGATAAGCTTGAAGCCACCTCATGTCAGCAAAGAGACTTCCTGGATGTGAGTTCTGGCATCTTTACAGAGCTGCTTTGAGGGATTCAGCTCATTCTAACCATTTTACTTGTCCTGTTCCCTCCCAGATTTTGGGCCTTCTAAGGTGGTGGTCCTTCTGTTGACAGAGCATTGGACATCCTGTGCTTCAGGATGAATAAGAAATCACCAAGAAAGTACTCACAGTGACACGGTGAGTGACAGCACTTTGCAGGAAATCTGCTGAGACACACAACAAATTGGCCACAATCTGGATCTCAGTGTCACTGGCAACAGCAGCGTGTTCATAAGATTCTTTCTGAATAAAAGAGAACAACAGATTCATCTGTGGATGGGATACAAGTCCCACTGTATCAATATTCTCAACAGCACCTCAGCTGCACAGAGCTGGTCACAACAAAAAACAACCCGGGTAAGACATCGGGTTTATTTTGGCTCCTCAAAGAGCCACTTAAGCTCTAATGACCTTCGCTTGCCTCCCATTTCTGTCCCTGTCTAGGTCAGTCCAGAGCCCAACATAAAAAGAACAGAATAGTCTTCAAAAGATGTCATCTTCAGTCAGGAATAATGTCCCAGGTCCCATCACGTGGGATAACAGCAACGTTCAGCACACATAACCCACTCCCAAGCTGCCGAGGGTGAAGTACCTCGCAGGAGGTAAAGCAGATGTTCCCCAGCTGCAGAATGGCAGCCAGGACAGCCCAGGTGGAGTTCAGCTGGTCCTCAGAGAGGCAGATCCCCTCCAGAGCTTGCACCAAGACCAGAAAGTCCTGACTGTCCTCCTTCCCCAGGATGTCACATGCTCTGCCCTGAGAGGAAAGGGACAGATAATCCTGATCAGCCCCTTTTGCCCCAGGCTGGAGCTGAGCCACCAGTAGCAAACTTCAGAGTAGTTCAGTGTCTTAAGAACTGGAGGAATCTGAAATAAAAAGACCAAAGGCACCACTAGTAGGAGCTCAGCATTTGTGATGGACCAGTTTCTCTTCTCTCTGGAGTTCTTGAGAGTGAGATCTCTCTTGCCCTCACATGCCAAGTTTCTGTTATGGTTCCAGCACAAGCACCCCAGCTCCCCCTTGCCCACTGTTGGGGTGCAGCTTGAGAGAAGAAGGGATGCCAGAATCAACTCCAAATAAGTCATGGCAGAATCACCACCCCAGATTGTACCAGGGCCTAATGTGTCAAGGCAAATGGGGATCTGTGCACCCAGAGAGCCACCCTGTGTTACAGCCTGTCTCATCTCTGCCTCAGAGCTTCACTACAACACGGCCTTATCATGTTTCTGCTTCTTGAGCTTATCTCTACAGGACACTCCCAACAACAGCCCTAAAGCTCACAGAAATCCTGGGTCGGGCTGGGGGGGACTGTGGAACCTGTTTGTGTACAAGGGCATTCCTTGATCAAAGTTTCAAGCTACTCTCAGATTTTAATGAGACAAGGATGAGGTCCAGGCAGCCCCTGGGCCAAGACCAAGATCCAGGAGAGATTTTGTCAGTCTCTGCAAACTTCTTTGTGCATAATCTGATCTTTTTTCCTTTCTTTCTCTGTAGCCGACCGAGACATTCCTGTTAACTATCACCTTGAAGCGTTTGGTTTGCAACGCTTTGCCAGTTAGGAACGTCACCCGTCAAGGGATGGGCCCCTAATTGCCCTCCATCCTTGAGTCATTATTGGTACTTGTCCATTCCTTGCCTGAAGGCAAGATGATAGCAATCAGCATCGAGGATTCCTCACAGGACCACAGCTGCTGTGAAGAGCTGCTGCTCCCACCTGGGAAAGCTGACTCACAGGGCTGAAATAGGAAAGATTTCTTGCTACCTCTGTGAACTCCTTGAGTGTGGAAAACAAAACAAAAAAAACCCCCAACAAACAAGCAAATGAAACAAACAACCTCCCAAAACGCGATCAGACAAAACCAAAACTTGTTCCAAGATATAAGCAAACATAAACTTGAAATAAGCAAACATAAACTTGACATAAGCAAACATAAACTTGACATAAGCAAACAATTTTCCAACTTAAATAACTGTACATTTCAGAGGTTCAAAATTTGCACCCGTTGACTCAGGCAACGAAGCAAGTTTTTTGCAGTAGGTAGAAAGAAATACCCCCTGTTCTTTGCAGTCCCACAATAAACTGTAAATGCAAGGAAAGGAAACGAGGAAAGGATTTTTTCACCACACGATGGAGCCATGGGTTTACACAATGACTCCTTTTTAAAATGTTTTGCTTAGGAGCAGAAGGGCCCTGAAAGGTGAGAAAAGAATCACGGAAAAGGTATTGCTTCTTTGGTCATGTATGGGAAGGAACAGAGCAGACTTTAGCATGTCCTTTGAAGCACACATTAGCAGGGAAGCAAAGTTAGTAAGTGTCTCACTACCCAAACAGAAGTGATGTCTGGGCCATTTCACTGCATCAGCTGCTGCAGAGCATCCTCAGCTCACTCACCTGATTCAGGTAAAAGTAAGACTCTGCCTCTTGCAAGTACATCTCCTCCTTCTGCTCCACGGGCAGCCCAGCCAGCAGCTCATAAAACACGTGGTAGTTCCTCTCACCATGGGCCTGACAGGGGACACATTCATAGAGTTGACTCATGTCCAGCTCCAAACCCCTACAGAATACACTCAAAGAGCAGGACACAGACTCTGAAGTCAGCAAGACAAGGCCAGAACCATTTAATTTGAAAAGTTTTCAGGTTTTCTCGTTGACACCTTAGGAACATTCTATCTAAGAGCAGTCCTTTTCACACAGCTACAATATTTGACCTTTTCCACACTCCAGAGATAAAGAAAAATGAGTTGAGGAAAGATTTAACTCTCAGTAATCCCTAATAAATGGCTTCATTCAAGCTGTTTGAGACAGAGAGACCTTCTATTTTATCCAAATAAAATAAGTGATCACCCTGTGCTACACAGAGGGGACATATTTCTTGTTCTCTTGAAATGGGAGTTTAAGATTAAATACCAATAAGGGAGAGAGGGAGTCACTGGTCCTCACCTGAAATACCACTCGGGACTTCTCCAGCAGGTACTGGGAGATGGATGTTCCCACCACGACACTACTGAGCATAAGACAACAACAGCTTCTGTCAGAGGCAGGAACAGGTTTTCTGCAGATCACTGTCTCTGTAGATAAGAATGATCTAAGGGGTGTAGTCTACATGAATTTCCAAAATATTTTGACAAAGGTGTGGGACTTTCAGGGAAACCAAGCAACCACAGCATGAGGGAAGGTCCTGACATAGGAGTAAAGGAGAATCCTGTTAACAGTGTGAGGCAACCATTAGAATTCCACAAAGTGTCTGTGCCTGACCAGTGAGTGTAACTGAGGGTTTGATAAATGACCCAAAAGAGCAGCTGAACAACAAGGTGACAAAGCTTCCTGTTTGTATGAAATGATTCAAGGCAGTGAAGATAAAAGCCAACTGTCAATAAATGCGGACAGACCTTAGAGTACAGAGTGAGTGGGCAAGAAAATGACACATGAAATCCACTGTAGATAAATGTAAAGTGATGGATGCAGGCCCAGCTTCACACATAAACACACAGCCTCCAAATTAACCACTGCTCCCTAGGACTGAGACCTGAGGGTTATGGCAGACAGTTACATGGGAGAGTCAGCTCAGTGCTTGGCAACAGCCAGAAAACAACCCGAGCAAACAAACCAAACACAGAGGTTAGAAAGGAGGCAGGTTCAAAACAGAAAGGTGTTTTTCACAGAACTGGTTAGACCTGTGGAACACTTGTCAAAGGCTGTTGCAGATGCCTGAAGTTTGTATGAGTCCAAGAGGAAACTGGAAAACCTCAAGAGACTCGGCAAAACTCCTGGGCTGCTGCAAATGGTCAAGAGCTCACAGAGTGTTAGAGAAAAGTGTTGTATGTATTTGGCCTGTTCTTGTCTCAGTCAGAGCTTGTGGCCCATGTTGGGGACACCACACTGTATTAGGTGGCTTCTTGGTATAACCAGTTCAGCCATCCTTGTGTTCTTAATTTAACACTCATCTTGAGAAGCAAGATCTGTTCTTTTGTGGAGGAAACCTGAGGGCAAAATAGGGGTGTAAACTCACCCTCTTCCTACCCTGATGATAACAGGAGTGAAGGGGAGGGAGGGTTATTGCCTGAGCCCCAAGCACTGCTCAACCTTTCCTCACCCAGGCACCCCTCAGCAGTGGAAGGAAACACCCACAGTGTTTCTTCAACTCACTGTCGCAGGTGGACATTCAGAAGCTTTCCAAACCGGCTTGAGTTGTCGTTGAGGATGGTTCTGGCATTTCCAAAACTCTCCAGGATGGGTAGGACATGGCAGGGCTTGAAAAAAAGAGGGAGACGACACTTCAGTAGCAACCACAGGTTTTTAAAATGAACGGGGCTTAAGTAACTATTAGTTTATAAATCTAAGAAAAATGGGACTTCAGTGATATAATTCTTGTCTGGATAAAAAGTCTCTTTTTAAATGTATCTTGGGATCATTATCTCTAGCCAGCGGCAAATTGCTCTGTGAGCTCTTTATGATCTTTCACTTTCCTTCTGCTCTGTGTTTGTTCAGATTCACCTCCCAGACTCTGATATAAGCTCTGTAGGGCAGGTATCATCTCTCTGTTCAAACAGATACACCACTCTAGACAGCACCAGACCTCAAGGATATTAATATACAAAACTACAAATACACCAGCTCTCCTCATGTCTTTATGGGAGCTTCACCTTGAACCACAAGCCATCCAAAGTCCAGCTCAGCTGAACAGGAATAAAGAAATAACATCAGCCTGGTCTCTCTCCTCTCTTTGGTTTCTTTTCCTTGCCCAACCACCACAGCATCCAGCCAACCTCTGCTATCTCTTACCTGTCTGATCCTGTGGCTATCTGATCTCTGGTACAGCAGGGTCAGGTATTGCACAATTGCTTTGGCAGCTTCTGTTTTACCTGATCCACTGTGTCCACTGGAGGAACAAGAGGTAAGGAAGCTGGTATCAAAATAGAGTTACTTAATCTAGACACATCAGAGCTCAGTTACAGCAAACCAGTGGGGTTGTACTGATTTACAACTGAAGATCTATCACCTATTGCTTGAAACACTGAGACAACTTGACAAAGTGGTCCCAGATAAGATTCCACTGTGGAATGCCAAATGCCTTCTCTTCCACTCCTCTGAACTGATGTGAAACAAAAATCCACCTTATTCGGGTTCTCTACTGAAAGCCCTCACACAAGAGCCAGAATGATCAACTTAAAAAGATGAAAGTTTTACATAAAGAAATTAGCAGGCCTTTGGGAAAGTACCTAATTTCCTACCTGATGATGACACACTGCTCCTGCCCTGACGACTGGGACAGTGTGTAGGCCATTTCTGCTATGGCAAAGACGTGTCTGCATGGACAGAAAGAAAACCTCCATTAACTGACCTCACATTTCTACCTCACAAACACAGCACCAAAAGGTTACTCATCAGGGGTCTACATTAGACACAGGTCCAAGCAACTACAGCTTTGCCAAATGGGTTGTTTGCTTCCTGTGACATTCATCCTGCTCTATCACACAACTGGAGGAACATAAAATACGCTCTGGAGCGCAAATGGAACAGGGTTTAGGGAGTTATTCGAGAAAGAGGAACATACGGGGCATTTTTTGAGAGAGTCCCCTGATGGTACTGGGTAGCCACATCTTCAGAATAGATACTGAGGTCTTTGAAAGGATTCACAGAAACCAAAATTTGCCCAATGTAAGTCTAGGACAAAAAAAAGAAAGGGGAAAAAAGTCTGGTGGCTTCTTCAAATTTTCTGAATGAGGAATGCAACTGAACACATATATTAGTACAAAGATTTAAATGCCCTTTAAAAGAATACTGTCTATTCTGACTATACTGCCATCTTATCCAGGGCACAGTTTTTCAGTGTCATTTTCAAAGCTCTGTCATTAATAATTTGGGATAAGTGAGCACTCACTGGTCTGTGGTCATCTTCTCTGGCCACTGTCTATTCTCCCAGCTCCACATGAAATTACAGGCACAGGTTTGAACATCTGAGCCAGTAAGTGAAAAAAAGAGAATACTTAGCCATCCAGAACTAGATCTGGACTGCAACACTGTGAAATGTTTGCAGAAACTTCTCAAGATCCGCAAGTTTTTACTCAGAACTGCTTTGCTAAAGTAGGAGAGCCTCACCAGGAGCAGCTGAGGCTAAAATGGAACCCAAGTATACTCACAGGATGCCAGTGAATAGCAAAATTACAGAAAGCTCTTAAACTTCCCAATTTTACCCCCAATATTTCATGTTATCTGCTTTCTGAGCAAAAGCTGTGTATCCTTTTTATCACTTTAATGAATGAGCTCTTGAGCTACTTGGTGCACTATTAAAGCTTGATGGAATAATATCAATAATTTTCTCTTACAGCTCATTGTTCAGAATGAAAAAGTACTGAAGAAAACCAAACCAAACCCCACCACCCACAGTTTATCTCATACATAAATGAGATTGCGGTGGAACCTCTTCTTCAGGCACAGCAGGACTGAGCTCTCAGAGACTTCCCTACAAATAGAAGAAAGGACTGGTCAGATATAAGCTTCACTTGCATGTGTTAATAGTAGCCTTACTCAGCTATGATATGCATCAAATTAATTCTGTTTCCTCCCATGGTAGCCCAAGATCTATAATGTGCTTTCTGTTGTTGAGCCAGCTTTGAAGGATAACAATCAATCCCCCGTGACCTGAACTAGTGCAGAATGGTACTGAGGACACATACTCCAGTCTGGTTAGATCTTCAATCTCCTCAACTTCTGCACGGGGGTCTTCACACCTGTACACCTGAAATGCACAGACACATTACTGACAATCAGGAGAAGTTCAGTTTCGTTCTAGTACCGGAGACAGCACCTGTACCTGTTTCTGCATGAACTCCAGCTCTAGCACGTCGTCAGTGACATCTTCTGCCTCCCACTGCTCCTCGCAGACCTTCCTCACGCGGCTGCTGGCCAGCTGTGGGTCCCTGTAGGTGGCCCACTTGCTCAGGTTCTCGATGGTCAGGCGTGGCAGCAGCAACTCCGAGTTCAGCCACGCTGCAGGGTCACAGCCCTGGGCCTGCTGCTGAGACCAGTGAACACCGGGCGTGACCACGGACCCTGCAGTCTGGAGGACACCCGAGCCTACTTTGACATCCACCTCACTGGAATAATCTGATGTCCATGTTGGATCCTCTTCATGCAGAAGGAAGCCCTGTTTGCTGTTTCTCTGGCTTTGACCCACCAAAGATCTGGGAAGGTCACATTTGAATCTGCTACCCTGTTGCACAGGTGTGACAGATCTTCTGTCTGATAGAGATCTCAGTTTTTCTAGGGAACAACGCTTCCCAGAGCCCCTGGATAAGGACTTTTTAGCCTTAACCAAGCTGTGGACTCTGGGGAATACTACAGCAAATTTGGCATCAGTAGCATTGCTCTTCTCCTCATCCAAGCATGGAGAGGAACTGCTTCCATGAAGAGGGGAATCACTAGAAGGCAAATCAACGTGTCCCACTTCCTCTGCCATTTTAGGACTGCTTTTGCCCTCCAATAATGGAGGAGAAGATTCCTTGTCCCTCGGCTCAGCCCTCCCCAGCTGTCCAGCTGCACCAGGGAAGGCTTTGCCCGACCGACCAACCCACCCAGCAGTGCTTAGAAGCCGGATTGCCATTTTACTTCTGAATCCAAAAGGCTTGCTGCTCTTCTTCCTCTTCCCAAACTTCTTCAAGAGCCATCTTGAAATACCAATTGCACGTGACACGCTCAGCAGACGAGCTTTCAGCCTTGATTTCTTGGCAGGTTTTTGCCCAAGCCAGCTGGTGACTTTTCTAAAAGTAGAATGAGTGTGCAAGTGCTTGGATCCTTTCCAATCATGCCCATGTTCTGTTTCAGAAGGTGCCTCTGCAAGCACTTCTTCTGCTTTCTCTTCTTTTGCCTCTGAAGTCTGGCCCGAACTCAGTTTAACTTTTCCAGTAACTTTTCCAGCTTTCTTCTTCTTTCCAAGGAGCTGCTTATCAGATGATTTTTTAACAATCATGGAGCAGCTTGAAGTATTTAATCTTTTCTCTCCAAAACTTCGAGTTATGTCAGGTTCTTTTTGTTTACTGAGGGTTTCTAGAGTCATGGATTTTGAACAGATGCTTTCAACATTTTTCAGGTCTGAGTTGGTTCCCAAAGCCATCTGGACAGGATTCGGTTTACAGCTTGGTAATAGTTTGGTCTCAGCATTTTTATGCTTCTTTTTCAGACTAAGAGGGATTTGGGATTGAGAACTTTTCTTCGTGAGCATCGTTGCTGCGAGTTCCTGCTTGCTGCAGTCTGGTGAACTGTCCCTCTGTCCATGTGCTACCTCTTCACCTTGTTCTGCAATCTCACACCTCCCAGACTTCTCCCTCAGAGTCCTCTGCTGTTTGGAGAGCAAAGGGCTGTCTTCCAGCACACTGCCTTCATTGTTCACCATCTCCTCCTGTTCAGATCCTTGATGTACTTTGCTAAGTCCAACATGGAGTTTTGCTTTCACAGCACTTGGCAGGGTTTTTGTTGCATTTTCCTTTCCTTCATCAGTGGTCTCTTCAGTTCTGTTCTCCCCAGCGCTACCAGAATTTATATGTCCCTCTTTGGATATATCTTGAACTCTGTCATTTTCTAGTATATTTTCCTTGTCTACTTCATTATTTTCTCTGTTCTTAAGACTCTTAACTTGGAATTCTGAAATGTTTACCTCATCATCTGCCCCACTGTCCTCAGCTAGAACACATTTTGGTTGTGTCAGCATGTCGTCTTGCTTCTTCATCTTCTCCTCTGCTTCCAATCCTGCACATTCAGTGCCTTCATCCTCAGATTCAATTTTTCCATCTGTGGTTTCCTGCTCCCTTTCAGGTTCAATAGATGCTTCATTGCTTTCATCAACCAATTCCTTGTAGCCTTTGCCTTCAGTCACAGGAGGACCTTCGAGCACAGCTTCTTTCTCACTGTTGCCATCTTCCTCTTCTGAACTGCTCCTCTCTTCTGAACTACCCTTCTCTTCTGAAGAACTACTCTTCTCTTCTGAACTGCTCTTCTCTTCTGAAGAGCTGCCCTTCTCTTCTGAACTGCTCTTCTCTGAAGAGCTGCTCTTCTCTTCACTGCTGGAACTGCTGCCCACTACAGTCTCTTTTGTACCCATTTCTTGGGTCCCATGGCCTTCACTGCTGGAGTCAGAGCAGGAGTTACCTGAGGTTTCCAGGAAATTTTCTTCTTCACTTTCAGTGATGACAATCCTGGCATATTTTTCAACTTTCTTTTTCCCAGTCCTCTCACCTTTTCCCTGTGCTGTACTGCCTTGGGGTTGAGGACTTGACTTCTGCCCAGAAGCCTCCTTAAAGCCATGTTTCCCTCTGTGCTTTCCCCTGGGGTTCTGCGCCTTCTCTGGTGGGTTCTGCTTCCGAAAAGAGCCTTCAGCACTTTGCTCTGCAATTGCCTTTATAGACTCCAACTCAGTGACTTTCCCCCTGACACCAACACGCTTACCACACTTCTTTTTAGAACTGTGTTTCTTGCTGTTTGTGGTGGATTTACCCTCCTTGTCACCGCTCTCCTCACTTTCCTGCCCTGATGTCCTTTCCTGTTGCTTGCAGACCTTTTGTTTTTTCCCCTCCAACCTGGACATGACCCGTTCTCCATGTTTTCTTCCCAGACCAGATTCACTTTTATCATTTCTCTTGTAGGCTCTTTTTCCCTGGAATAACTTTTTTTGGCCATTTTCTTTGCTTCCCTGAAGCCTCTCCAGACTCTGGATTTTTAAGGGCTCTTCTTCAAGGGTGTCACCTTGTCCAGGCAGTGACTCTTTGCCCTTCAGTTGCCCTCTACTCTCCCCTTCCCTCTGCCTCCCACAGGGGATCTTTGAGTCTCCTGGGGAGCTCATGTTTTTCTCACAATTCAACACTTTCTCTTTTCCAGCCCTTTTCTGCCGAGTCTTGGATCGGGAAGGAGGCATTTCTCCAGCGTTCAGGAGTGTGTGAGGGCTTATCTCAATTCACCTATGAAAGGAAACATTGTGCATTTTGCTGTGAAATCAGCTACAAAGGGAGGCCAGATCTTCCTAAGCGCTAATTTACCTTGTTTCTATAGAGCCAAATGTCTGCAGAACCTCACCTGTGCCAAACTGACTGTTCTATTCCAGGTTAAGCTCTGGTTTATTTTGTCATGAATCACCCTGATTTTCTTTTTTTTTTTGTTAAGACTCTTGCCACAGGCAACTGTCCATGATTTTCTACAGTTGACAAAAATTTGGCCACACTGCAGTTTAAGAAATAATGATTATTTTGTTTCAGGTTTTGCTTCACTTTTGCTTTTACAGTACACAGGCTACAAGCCCAAAAGAGTTCTGGACAAGGTTTGTTGAAACTTGCTTCCATCCACAGGCATCTCCCCGCCCTAAAGGGGATGGGGAAAGAGCACACAGTCAAGATTGCTATTCAGCAAGCTTTAAAGCTTTAAATCTTTGCAGGTGCTATGAAGTCTGACAAGGACTGAGAATTTTTAGCATTTAGTACCTCAGGAAGGCAGCCTACTCTGCTGGAAGGAAATGCAACCATTCTCCAGAACATCTAATGACCTGCTTGCAGACTGAAACTTGTCCAAGCATCCTTAAAAGTCATTGAAATAAATTTTTTGAAAAGGCCATTGAAAAATACATTCCATTACTCTGAGAGCAAACCAGCAAGAAACAACTGTGTGAATCAAAGTTTGCCTCACCTCAGTCACTCCAAGGAGGGCAGCAAAACCCCATTTCAGATTTACACAGTCCAGGAAGGCTGATGCTCCAAAAAAAAAAAAGCCCACTTGGTGTGTGTAAGCCACATGGTCTTATTGCAAATGTTGGGAGGGGGGTTTCTGTACTACCCATTTTGTACTCTTCTGTACGACAGAACAATCTGCAGTGGGGAACACACAGCATCTCCCTTTTCCCCACCTGCAACTCTGACACTGAAGCAAAAAGCTGCTGCCCTGAAAGCAGTTACATACAGTTGAGAGTTCCTCAACAGTGTCTTTAGGGTTCCCTCTAAACTTACTTTTTTACTCTGGTCTAGAGTTAAAACATCTCAGACACGTATGTTGCACAGTGCAGAGTTCATCTCTTAACACCAAATCCTCTTCCATCCCTCTCTTTGAACAGAACTCTCTGAAATACGTAGGTGTCTGGTCACCTTATTTCAGCCCTCCTCCTCCCCCCCACTTAATACCCCAATATTAGTGGCCTAGATCTCTAAATCCTGCAAAAAGACTTTTGTTGCTGAGATTAATGGCAGCTGAATTAGGCCCTAAATCCTCAGTACAGAATAGTTGTTAATATTCTGTTCTCTTGGGGGCTTAAAGTTGATACAGCTTCTCTACAGTGCCAAAAGCAGGAGAAAATAATAAAAGTCTGCTTTTATGTGCTGTTGCTAGATAGTCATGTGTCTGGAGAGCTAAAGCCTTCCACAAAACAAAAATGCTGCAATTCTTGGATGATGGGGAAGGTCAGGAACACAGCCCAAATTTGTAGGGAGCTTGGACTGAGGACTTTGGTTTGACTCGCTGTAAAGACAGGACCCCAGACTGAACCTAGGTTAGAAAGTGAAAAACTAGAGTTCACAATTCTTCTGAGACAGGGTTTTAGAGCAGATTGGTTTGTAACACCACTGTTATTACTGGGAATGGGAAGATGAATCACTGCTTATATAAACAATTCCTTTGACATCAGACCTGCTCTGATTAACTGCCCTGGACCATCTGGAGCAGGTGAAAGATCCTGCTCATCAGTTTTTCAGCACCCCTCACTAACACCAACTTCATCTAAATCACCACAGGAAAAAGAACAATATGATTTCATTCTTCCTTTTCAGAAGAAATAACTTACATCAGAGAAAAAGAGAACCTCAGTGCTGTTAAGAAACAGAGCATGAATCTATAGATAAAAAGAGCAAAAAGCTCATGCTGCTATTTTCAGATCAGTAGGGAATTGTCCCGTCTTCCCTAAACACAGTGGTTTCTCCCAACTCACACAGAGGAAAAGTACAATGATGAATCTTAAAGGGACATACTTGGAACTTAATTCTTAGGTTTCTATTTTCATTCACCTGTAGAAATTGCTCAAAGTCCTTCTTTTATCACTCTGCAAACAGTAATTTTTGCAACGTACCTACATTGTCCGCCCTGATTCCGTTGAATCCCCAGTATTATAGGTCACATCCATGTAATGGTAACATATTCCTTCTCCTGTGCCTTGTTTCCATGCAGCCCAGAGTCTGTTCCAGCCTCCTTGCAAGCCTTCCCAGCTGTGGAGTCTGACATGGATTCTGGCTGGGCTGCGTCCCAACAGCAGATGATTACAGGTATATGGAAGGAAAGTGGCATTAATTATTCAAGCTTTCTCGTGGTACCTTTGAACTTTTCAACCAGCAACATCACCAGCTGGTTGGCAGAGTTTGGGATAAAAGAAGAGGTGGGATTTCACCTAGGCAAGAGGCAGGTTCAGATGTGGTATGATGAGGTGCATCCCCAAAGACAGACTGACAAGGAGAGGTCAATTCCAATACCAAAACACATCTGCTATAATATAGGCAAGAGACTCCCAGACAAGGCACAGTGAATACTACCTTGAAACAAGCTTAGGCCAGTAAAAGGGATTAAATCATAGGCCCCTTTCTTCTGTATCCCTGGAGTTTTATTCTAGGGAGCCAAGCACGGATAGCTCAGCCCCTGCTCCCTTCTCCTTGCCAATACCAAGCTCTCTGCTGACAACAGGAAAGTAGTTTCCAGCTCGGCACTGAAAAGACAGCAAAACTGGCACCATTTTTGCCCTCATTATGCCTAAATCTCAGTCCAAATCAAGCAGAATGACTAAATCTCCTTTCAGCTCGAGTTTCCAAATAAAGCTGTTCTCCCCTTGCTTGCAGACAGGTCGGGGTTACTCACAGCAGGTGATGGTGTCCCTGCAGTGCTGCTGGCTAAGTCAGTGGTGGGTTTCCCCTGCCTAGGTTGCTCTCAAGAAACCAGATAAGAGAGCAAACACAAATGCACAGTCTGGTCTGTACATGCAGCCTCCCCCTGCGCTCACCAGGCTGCAAAGGGACAACACAGCCAGTGCAGATTTAACTACTCCGAGGATGTCCCTTGTTCTTTAAGGTTTCCCTCTCCCAAAAAGCCTTTCCAGAGACGGTGGAGATTAAACAAGACAAACTCAGGTGTGGCCGGCCAGCAGAACAAGTGACCCAAACATAAAATGTGATGAGTGCTGTTAAGATAAGATTTCAGACGTTCAGCAGCTTTAGTTTGGGTGGGACCTGTTTGTCTATCTCCTTCCAAGAGCCCGTGGCTGCTACGTACTGTACCTTGAGGGCTCCTTCACCAAGAAGCCAAGATAAAACCCGGGGGTTGAGCTGGAGAACTTAAACACTGCACCTAAGCTTTTCCTCACTGGATGGTTCACTTCTCTTAGTTAACTCTTTCATCCTGTTCTTTTATGAACTGTTTACGAAAAACTCTCTGCAGAGAGGAGACCTCTCCTGTAAAGCCCAGAATTACTGATGCCATCTGGATCATTAATTCCTTAAGGACTCTTGGGAAAAAGCCCCTGGGGTTTTTAGCTCTAAGCTTTTAATGTGGGTATGGCAGGGAGGAGAAGCTGCTCTGAAAAATCCAACTCCTCACAGCTCCTGAGGAGAAAGTGGCTCTAACAAATGCCATTATCAGCTGGAGCCTCTTCAAGGCTCTGCATAGCCCAGGCAGAACCAGAGCCCTCTGCTTCTTTGATTTCTTTGATTTGTCAGAAGTCTCAGATGTCAGATTGGGTTTTGCCCAGGGATGGCCAAGATGAAGCCACTGATCATGTTCACTTTCTTATCAGACTCCTGTCTGCTCTGAGCTACAGTGAGATGAGGAAGGCTGAATCTCTGCTGTGCAGACAATCCCTCCCCACCTCAATCTCAAGCCTGAGCCTCAGCACCCCTAACCTGAATTCTCTGCACACACTGAACACTACATTTGTTTGCCTTTTAAATTGATCCTGGCATGATGCTGTCAGGGAAAGGGAGATAATCACCAGGAAAGATGAAACCCTTCCAGATTTCAGCAGACTGGACAGTGGAGTTTCCCGAAGATTCCTTCATTTATGCAAAATATCAGTTCCTTTCATCTAGTATTGAGCCACTACGATTTTAAAATGTTATTTGAGAGTGATAACACATCAGACCCAGCTTTTCACCGTAAATTCCTCTGAAGTCAATCACATAAAATAAAAGCACTTGATGCTATTGCAGAAAAGAGATACGAAAAGATAACTCAATTTTTTTAAATTACTAAATCACATGAATAAAAGAGCAGAAACTGGTTGTGATTGATCAGAAAAAAAAAAGACACTTTGCATAAATTCACAACCACCTTGTTTGTTTGGTAGTGGTTCGGATAAGGAGACTGGTCAAAGTTGTTCTTAGGAACATCTGTCTTTACGATTAAACTTGCATAAATGTATAAATGGGGTCTCCTCTTGGTTTCATTCTATTCAAGTAGAATTGACACTCCAGTCAGGACCCTGCAGCCTGTAAGACTGGTTTAAAAATATCTTCCTCTTTTTTGCATTTTCTCCCCACCCCAGTTGTCTTGCATTAATATAAAATATCTCCACTG